ATATATTATACATAAATTGTTAACTAGCTAGCTAGGTATCTAGCTAGCTAGCTACCTAGCTATGTGGATAGCTAGCTAGGTATTTGGCTGGCTGGGGAAGGGGGGGGGACTGGATGGGTAGTTGGCTAGCTAGGTAGGCTGATTGATAGCTGTGGAGCTAGGCTTGCTTACAAGCTGGCTAGCCAGCTAGCTGGCTAGCTACGAAGGGGAGGGTTGAGGGATTGTACCAAGCTGCAATTGCTGCGGTCTCAGCTGCTGCTGACAATGCATGCCAGCAGCAGCAGCAGCAACAGCAGCAGCAGCAACAGCAGCAGCAGGAGTGTTTTGTGCTGCAGATGATAGCACGGGGATAAGCGTCTGTCAGCCGATGCAACACCCAGCCCACGTCTACAGGGAGACAGTCCCCATGGGGTAAGCAAGGGTTTAGGGTTTAGGGTTTAGGGGTACGGGGTCCTCTGTTTTCTCCGGATAGTTGCCTAACGAGCACCTTGCACGTTGGTGAAGCATCGATATAGGGTTTAGGGTTTAGGGTTTAGGGTTTAGGGTTTACGTGCAGCCCTGCTGACTTGGACGTGAATGAATTTTTGTCGTTGATGGAGGCATTGAAGCGCGAATGGCCCGGCAATTCTTACGACGTCCTTAGCAGGTAGGGTTTAGGGTTTAGGGTTTAGGGTTTAGGGTTTGTGTATAAATCCCTCCATTTTATCTGCAGTGTATACAGACGGCACTTTTTGCTGTTAAATTCCCCCGTGCTGCTATAAATCTCTCCCTCTCTCTTGTATCATTACTTCCTTGTTCTGTTGCTGTTGCTGCTGTTGCTGCTGCTGCTGCAGGAACTGTGTAAACTTTGCAGATCATTTATGTGTGCTGCTAGGAGTAGGGCACGTTCCTTCTTGGTTATTTAGACTGCAGCGGCAAGCGAATAGTATTAAAGGAGGAGCTCGTGCTGCTGCTGCTGCTGCTGCTGCTGCTGCACGTCAGCTGCAGCGCCTCGATACCCATGCGGGTATATCCGCCACTGCAACAGCAGCAGCAGAAGCAGCAGCAGCAGCAGCGGCGGCAGCAGCTGGAGCAGCTGTCTCCTTTGGCCGTCTACTCAAGCATGCTCACCAGGTTAGAGACAAAAAGCAGAGGCGCCACTCTAAAGCAAAGGGGGCCCCCAAGCAGCAACTGAGGGGCCCCCACCCTCCGCCTTGGGGCCCCCCCAAACCCCACAAGGGTACTAGCACCAAAGGAGTCGCAGTCGCCGCCCCCAAGGGGCCCCCCGCATCCGTAGCAGCCTGGGGGCCCCCGTGTATCAGAACAAGGGGTGGAGCCCCCTGGGCATCTTTCTTTAGTGGGGCCCCCTGTACATTCTTAAGGCCAGTAGGAGCAGCAAACAACTGTGGGGGCCCCCCCTTCCTTTGCATGCACTGCAGCGGCGTACCCTGGAGGTGCAGCCCACAATGCCCAAAGCCATTAAGTAGTTTAGCTCCCCCTCATGGGGAACCCTGTGCTTTAAAGGGCCCCCCCAAAAGGGCACCTCTAGACCACAAGGGGGCCCCCTGAGGGGTGGGGCCCCCATTGGACCCACCAGCGTCCTTGCTAGGGGAGGAGGCAAGCACTAGCACGGCAGCCACTTCACGGATGGGTTGCGTGCTGCTGCTCCTGTTGCTCCTGTTGCTGTTGCTGCTCCCAACTTCCGGCTGTAGCCGCTGATGCTGCTGCTGCTGCTGCTGTGCTCGCAGGAGGTTCGGCTCTCCGAGGAGGTGGGCAGACGTATAGTGCAGGTGTGGCTTAGGGTTTAGGGTTTAGCATCTTGGCGGGGTCGAATATATTCCACTGCATTCAGAGGGTCTAGGGTTTAGGGTTTAGCTACAGGTTAGCAGGGTTTAACGTGCCTGCATGCACAAGGGTTGTCGGGCTAGAGTGGGATTTTAAGTCCCCGATTAAGGGTTTAGGGTTTAGGGTTTAGGGTTTGGGGTTTGTGTCTCAGGGCATGAATTACTTTACGGAGAGGTTAGAGGATGTCTTTGCATGCATTCCCATGGAGTTAGCAGAGACAGAATATATTATTGATACAACAAGTACCTCCCTTACTAGGGCCCCGAACCCCCCTGATATACCTAAAGGGGGCCCCCTAGCTACACCAACATCATTGCGGGGGGGCCAAGAGACCCCAACATCCTCAGGGGGGCCTCTAGAGACCCCAACATCCTTAGGGGCGCCCCTTGAGACCCCAACATCCTTGGGAGGAACCCTTGAGACCACAGCATCCTCGAGGGGCCCTTTAGAGGCATCAACATCTGTTGCGGGGGCCCTGGAGACATCGACATCTGTTGGGGGGCCCCTAGAGACAATAACATCCTTGGGGGCCCCTCTAGGGGCAGCACTATCGTTAGGGGGGGCCCTGGAGGCAGCAACATACATGGATGGGGCCCTTCAGACAATATCCTTAGACGCCTCCCCGGAGGGCACCCCTGGGGTCCCTCTCCCTCCTGAAGATCCGCGGGGGCCTCCCGTTGAAGAGCAGCGGGAGGCCCCCCAACAGAACCCTCTTGGAGCCCTCGTGGAGGTACCCTTGGGGTCCTCTTCTGAAGAGCATTTAGAAGACCCTGTACCTCATGAGACGCTAGGCGACAGTCCTGAAGGGTCCCCTCTAGGGGCCCCCATTCTTGAGGGGCCCCCAGAGGAGCCCCCCATTTTTGAGGCGCCCCCAGGGGAGCCTCCCATTTTTGAGGGGCCCCCAGCGGAGCCACCCATTTTTGAGGGGCCTCCAGCGGAGCCCCTTGAGGGGCCCCTACTAGGGCCTCCGCTTCTTGAGGGGTCTTCTGAGGGCCCCCCCATGCCCGTCGTATCATCTTCGCCCGCCCGTACCCAGTACCCTTTAGCTTCTGAAGGGGGGCCCCTTGGGGGCCCTCCTTCAGAAACCACTCGGCTAGAAGAAGAGGGGCAGAAAGAGATATGACCCGAAGGGCTTATAGAGGCCTGTTTTAGGGGACCGACAATGCAGGTTGCAGGGTCCCTTCCTGCTGCTGTTGCTGCTCTTCTGCTGCTGCCCCTTTTTACTGCATTTTTTTCTTGTTGGTGAGGAATCCAAACCCTTTGGCGGTTTCCTAAACCCTAAGACCTATTGCGAAGGTAGTCTAAAAGTGTTTAGTGTTTAGGTTTTTGAAGCCTAGGTTCTACGAGGTAAAATACTGCAGGGGATAGAAAAAGGGACTCTGCATGCATCCCTTGGGTGGGGTTTGCTGGTTAGGGTTTAGGGTTTTGATTGCTCGCTGTTTAGGTTCTATTGTTTAAACCTGGGGAAAGGAGAGCAAGGATTTAGGGCTTTACTTGCGACAAGAAGCAGTTGCCCCCGCACACGCCATGAGGCGTGAGGGTTTAGGGTTTACACAGTGTGGGGCTAAAACGATGGTTTGCTTGTCTACGGTAGAGGCAGAGGTATACCGCCTAGCCAGCAGGCAGCACGTGAAACGGGTTTAGAGTTTGCGGTTAGAGAAAGATTTGCAGTTAGGGTTTAGCGTTTAGGGCTACGGATCTGGGCTCGTTGACACGTATGTGTGCTTGAAATTATTGGTGTTGAAGAGCGTTTGCGCCCGAGGGTTTAGATCTGGATGCCTTCGATTAAGGTTTAGGGTTTGGGGCTTAGGGTCTACGCGAGTGCTCAAGTGACCCCGAGACTCTGTTAAGGTTGTGGGCATAGGGATTGGGGTTTAGGGTTTGAAATACACAGGAATACAATTTTATTGAAGATTTAGTGCTACAGTACATGCTAGATACCCGGGTTTGGGGTTTAGCGGTTAGGGTTTAGTGTTTAGGGTTTAGCTGGCTACTCGGGCTGGTGTCATCCAGCCCCAGGCGGCGCCGTGCTCTACTTGGATCCCCATGATAAAATTATTTTATTTTCATTAATTATTATTCAATTTTCTTGTAAACAACTCAAAGGGTTTAGGGTTTAGGATTTAGGGTTTAGTTCCGCCGATCGCCGCCGCAGCAGCAGGACGCTCGCGCTCGTGGCCAGGAAGGGTTTAGTGTTTAGGGTTTGAAACTTCTACAACAGAAGGTAGCTACTCTCTTTCTGCAGCCTCCGTTAATTGTTTATAATTTTAGGGTTTAGGGTTTAGGGTTTAGTGTTAGTTATTGCTTACGGCAAGCCAACAGGTATCTAACCCTACTAGATCTAACTGTTCCAAGCCTACAGTTGAATGCGTAGGGTTTAGGGTTTGTGACGTGGTAGCAATGTTACCTCCCTTGCCCTTGCGGGAGCATTAAGCTGGCAGCAGCAGATGGTGACCCCAACTAGGGCGGTCCGTTCCCCGCTGCCGCCACAGCAGAAGCAGCAACATCAGCAGCAGCAACAGCAGCAGCAGCAGCAACAGCAGCAGCAGCAGCAACAGCAGCAACATGCTACAAAAAAAGTGGGAACGCAGGCATCATCCCAATTTGCGTGCATGCCCCTGCCTAGACACACCGTGGGGCCCACAACCTCCCCCCCTGCTGCAGCAAAACAAAAAGAGACACAAAAAGAAGTAGGGGTAAAAAGAGACAAAAAGACACATTGGCTGCTGCCAAGACGGCATACAGAGCAACCTCAGCAGAAACAGCAGCAGCAGCAGCAGAAGGCAGTACGGCAGCGCCACAGCAGCGCAGAGAGAAAAGGGCCTGCAACAACCAAGGTTCGTCGTTGTTATTTTTCTTTGTCTCCTTCTTCTTATAAAAGGAAACAAAAAGAAGAAGAAGAGGTACAAAATAAACACCTTCTTCTCCCTTATTCAGGTGTACATACACAACAGATAAAGAGGATAATGCATTCATTGCATGCATTGCATGCGCTGCATGCGTTGCTTCTCGCTGTTGTCGCGTGGATTAATTCATTTATTCCTTTGCTGCCTTTTGCTGTCTCCTTTCTCCATTCTTTTGTATCCTTTCTTGTTATGCCTCCTTTTTCCATGTATCTGTTCCCCTTCTTCATTGTCCCCCTGCTGCTGTTGCTGCTGCTGCTGCCGCCAATTGCTGCAAACCCCCACAAACATACCTCCTGCTGCTGTATTCAGTATCAGGAGAGGCACATGCAGAAGCCAAATTTAGGGTTTAGGGTTTAGAGTTTAGGGTTTAGGGCTTGCTAACTCTTCTAGGTTACCCAGGAGACATCCGCAAAAACAACGAAAGAAAAAGTAGGAGGAAAAGAAAACGATCTGCGTAGACCCTCCAAAGCTGCCGACGCAGGAAAAAGAACCAGTAGGGTTTAGGGTTTAGGGTTTAGGGCTTAGGACCTGGATACAAGGGCTTTGAAACCCTTGAGGCACAGCAACACAACAAATTGGACAAAAAGCGCAAGAGGCAGAAGGAAGATCAGGTCTACAGGACCAGGGTTTAGGATTAAAGGTTTGTGACTTAGGGTTTATGGTTTAGGGTTTAGGGTTTGTGAACGCGCAGGTCGGTCTCCGCTCCCACAACATCCTACAACCGTAGGTGTGGGGTTTAGGGCTTGAGGTCTCCGGTCTAGGGTTTAGCAGGTTAGGGTTTTAGGGTTTAGGGTGCTCGTGAGGGCGACTCACAAGAGCTTGAATCTCTCCACGAAATTGCTGCTGCTGCTGCTGCTGCTACTGCTTCAGGGGGGAGAAGATGTCGCTGCAGTGCATTCTAGACAGCAGCAGGTAGGGAGGGCCCACCAAGTGTGGGGCCCCACAGAGGAGATAGGGATTGGTTTTATAGAGGAGACAGAGGGAAACAGGAAAGGAAACACAAATACAAAAAAGGGTTTGCCTATTCTGTCTAAACCCCTTTTCGTCTAACAGGTGTCGCCGCACCCAAAGGGAGCCCAACACGACACAGGAGGCAAGCCACTCTAGAGGGTTTAGGGTTTAGGGTTTAGAGTTTATGGTTAGGGTTTGGAATCCAGCGTCGCGACAGTCACCTGGTGCAAATGCACAAATGCTTGTAGGATTAAGGATTGGGGTTCAGGGTTTAGGCTTTATTGTTTAGGGTTTAGGGTTTGTGGCTGCTGCAGGAAGCAACAGCATATTAAAGGGGCCGCCAAAAGCCTTCGAGCCAAAGGCATGCAAATTTCTCCTATGAGGGTTTAGAGTTTAGGATTTAGGGTTTAGGGTTTAAGTCGGAAGAAAACTTCCTCAAGGGGTTGAGGTCGCAGCGGGGTGCTGCTGCTCCTCGTAGTCTAGCTGTTGCTGCTGTTGTTGCTGTTCTTGTCCCTGTTGCCACTGCTGCTGCTGCTGCTGTTGTTGCTGCTGCTGGTAACCAGGTAGCATTCTCACAAGAGAAGACTAAAGGAGGCAAACGTACTCCAGGGGCCTCGCCTACCCCGGTATCCCTAAACCCTAAACCCTAAACCCTAAACGCTAAAATCTTAGACAAAAGCCTAACTAAACCCTAGCTAAACCGTACGGGTTGCCTAAGGTGACCAATGGTTCTTCTTGTGTTGCCTTAGGGGAAACAGCGAGAGTCCTTAGGGGCCCCTGTACCCTCCCCTACAGGCGGTCGTCATACTGTGGGACCCGTGGGGTTCCACCCCCACGAGCCCCTGGGGGGCCCACCGAAGAGGGCCTACTCCGTTTCTCCTTTAGGAGCTAACAGAAGCAGGAAGGAGACAGTGTCTCCTGTAGCTAAAGGAAACGGAGACAGCGAGGGAAGGGAGTTTGCTAAAATGGAGACAGGAGACAGCAAAGAAGGGAAAGGAGGGCCCCCCATGGGGTCTCCAGCGGCAAAGGGGACCCTTCAACACAAAGGACCGTTCAGCAAGTTGTGCATGGCAACAAGGAGGGCCTCTCCCCAGCCTCCGCCGCCGCCGCAGCAGCAGCAGCAAACGAAGTTAGGTAGAGAAACACCGCAACAGCAAAAGCAGCTGGAGAACCCGGGGTTAGCAGCAGCAGCAGCAGCACCTGCTGCTGTTGCTGCTGATAGCCCGCAGCGGGGCAAAATTCAGCTAACACCCCTAGTTGTGGTGACCCCCACATTGGAAGGGACACAGAAGCAGCCGCAAACGCAGCAGCCAACGCAGCAACAAGCGCAACAGCAAACACAGCCGCAGAACAAACAGAGGGGACAGCAGCTACGGCAGCAACAAATGCAGCAGCGGCAGCAAGACAAACTACCTCAACAGAAGGAGCTCCAGCTGCAGCAGCTGCAACAATTGCAGCAGCTACAGCTGCAGCAGCTACAGCTTCAGCAACTGCAGCAGCAGATCGAGCGACAACACGAGCAGCAGCAGCTACAGCTGCAGCTCCAACAGCAGCAAGAGCAGGAAACTCTGCAGCAGCAGCAGCAACAGCAGCAGAAGGATTTGCAGCAGCAGCAGCAACTGCAGCAGCAACTTGCAATTTTGCAGCTGGAGAAACAAATGTTGCGGGAGAAAGAGCAGCTTCTCCTCTCTCTGCAGCAACAGCAACAGCAGCAGCAGCAATTAATGCAGCTGCTCAATATGACCCCAGAGGGCCCACCCCTTCTCTCGCGAGCCGGAGTGTCTCCTATAAAACCTTGTGGGGCCCCACAGGAAGCTGCTGCGGCATGCAGTGTCTCCTCAAGGACTGCAGCAGGGGGTTTAAAAAACCCCCAAACTCTAGGAGACAGGGGGGTCCTAGCAGCGAAGGGGCCCCTACTGGCGACTGTGGGTGGCCCCCTGGGGGGCCAGCTAGGCGGCCCACACAGTAGCAAGCAGGCGCTGTCATCTTTTGTGTCAAGCAGCAGAAGCAACAGCAGACCCCGTCTCTCAGCACAAAGAAGAGGGGTCCCTAGAGCCTCCTCTGCTTGTAAGGCAAGGGCGCCCCCCCTAAGAGGCAAACTCCGTGCACGGGAGGACCCCTATGGGGCCCTCGCAACAACCGTACCCCTTGAGGGGCCCCTACTAGGGGACTGCTGCAACCCTGCAACTTGGGGGAGGAGGCCATTGGGGGGGCCCCCTCGTATACCTAAACTTAAGAAGAAGGAGACAGTAGGGGAAAACAGCAGCAATCTACATATTGTCCTTAGGCCAGATGCACTCCAGCAAAGAGGAAGGGGGACCACCCTAACTTGGGGGAACCCCCACGGCATGGGGGCCCCTCCTTCTTCCCTAATGGTAACAATGGATGTTCGTGTGGGGCTTCGTCACCTAACCAAGCAAGGCCGCAGTCTTATATACACAACATGGCAGCGGGTTAACTTGGGGCCCCCTGAAGAGGGGGCTCCCCTTGAGGAGACCCCTCAAGAGGGGGCCTTTCATGAAGGGGCGCCTCTAAAGGGGCCCCTTCACCAAGATGCGATGGGGGGCCCTCTAGAGAAGGACCTTCAAGAGGGGGTCGCCCACACATTTGGGGACCCCAGGCAAACGATGGAGAAGGAAGCCAATGGGTTGTCCCCGTCGGCTGTGGAGCCGGGGGGCCACCCCTTGGGGGGAACCATTTGTTTTGAGGCCCCCAATGCCAGAGGAAGGCGTCTCTCTGCTGCAGCAGCTGCAAGCAGAAGTGCGCCAGAGGCAGAAGGTGGGGGGCCCTGGCATATGGCGCGGGGGGCCTCTAGGGTCCCTCCTACCCTAGTCAGGGGGAGAGCCCCTTTCTACGATGGGGGGCCCGTAGCTTCAGAAGGAAGGGTACAGGTACCCTTCTTGGGGCCCTTAAACTTGGGTCACCTGAGCATGGGGACCCTGCGCCTCTTCGAGGAAGCGGGGCAAAAGCTACAAGCCATCTGCAGCAATATAAGTGCATCAGCATACAGCACCCATGCCGCCGCCGCAGCAGCAATAGCAGCAGCAACAGCAGGACAGCAACACCAGCAGCAGCAACACCAGCAGCAGCAGCAACACCAGCAGCAGCACCAGCAGGAGAAGCTTTACCCGCAGCAGCAGCGATACCCGCAGCAGCAACACCAGCAGCAGCACCAGCAGGAGCAGCTTTACCCGCAGCAGCAGCAATACCCGCAGCAGCAACACCAGCAGCAGCAGCTATACCCGCAGCAGCAGCTATACCATCAGCAGCAGCAACAGCAACAGCTATACCCGCAGCAGCAACATCAGCAGCAGCAGCAGCAGCACCAGCAACACCAGCAACACCAGCAACACCAGCAGCAGCAGCCACTCCAGCAGCAGCAGCTACACCAGCATCAGCAGCTATACCATCAGCAGCAGCACCAGCAGCAGCTATACCAGCAGCAGCAGGTCCACCAGCAGCAATACCAGCAGCAGCAACACCAGCAGCAGCAACACCAGCAGCAGCAACACCAGCATCACCACCACAACCACCACCACCAGCACCAGCAGCAGCAGCAACAACACCAGCAACAGCAACAGCAGCAACAGCAGGAGGAGGAGGAGGAGCAGCAGCAGCAGCAGCAGGGGCAGCACCAGCAGCAGCCAGACCAGCAGCGTAACAGGGGCACCGTGTATCTGGAGGAAAGGGGACCCGTGAGGCCCCCCAGAGAAGTGTCGCCTACAGCAGGATGCGCAAGAGAAAGAGACCCTCTTGATGACCTTGCCTTAGGGGGGGCCCCCGTAAGACAAGACCCTCTTTATGAGGGCCTTCCCTCAGAAGCACAAAGCTTAGAGAGCTTTGGTAGTATCTATGGGCCCCCTCCCCTCTTTTGTTGATTTTAATTAACCTCTTTATTTTTTTTAAGTAATTCAAACTGCCTCTAGCTACCCAGCAAGCTAGCCAGCTAACCAGCTAAAGAGCTAGCTAGCTAAAGAGCTACCTAGTTTAATACCTAGCTAGGCGTTTATACAGCTACCTAGATAGCTACGTAGTTAGCTATACAAGGTACCCTGTGGAGCGAACTTTGTGACCAATGGACCACTTTGTTTGTTTTCATCGTCTAACAGGAGGATTAATTCTCCTTTCTAAGAAAGCCATAAATAACTGCATGCAGTGCTACAGGAAAATAAATGCCATAATAAAGCACTAAAATACTTTTTAAAGAACAAACAAAAGCAGAAAAAAATAAAGTTTAGCCATCGGCTGCGGGGTCACCTGCGGCAGGGGGTACATGCATCGATTTGCATGCAAAGAAGTGTATTTTCTTTCACTATATTGTATTTAAATATATTTAAGTGTTTATCTAATTAAAAAGGAAATTTGTTACTGTGAAGACACTGCAGCAGCAAGACAAAGCTAAAACAAAGAAATAACTTCTACGGCAAATTCTAAGGGGCAGCGCGTCCTTGCGGTCGAGTCGCTGTGTGTGTAGACCAGTGGTCTTTTGTTGCTGTTTTGTCTCATTCTCTGCCTCTAAGACAGAATAATTTAATTACATAAATAAAATAAATAATAAAAGAAGGAAAAGGGAGAAAAGCGCCTCAAAAAGCACCTTTCGTTGCCCAGGTATCCCTAGCGGTGTTGGTGTGGCGATTTCTCTATATTGACCATTGGTCCACTGATCTCCCTTCAGCAGCACAGCAGATCTAATTTAAGTGTTGCTGCCTTAAAGCCTCTTTATACTGTCTCTTTGTCCATTAAAGCATAAGCTACATGGGAGAAAGCTGCAGCTGTCGATACACTGGAACCTCCCCTTCACGTCCCTACGGGTAGCTAAACAGCAGCAGCAGCAACAACAAAAGGAAGAAGAAGCCTCTTTTCTCTTCGTTGTGTCCCTCTTTTGCGTTGTCCCCATGACCTATGTATGAGGCAACACAAGGAGGAGGCGTTTGTTCTGCTATAATAAGGAACAGCTAGACGGCGAAGCAGCAGCAGCAGCAGCAACAACAACAACAGCAACCGCAGCAGCAGCAGTTATTTGTCTCGTTAATTGACTACATGTGTGTCTCCATAATAATCTGTCGTGTGCGTGCCTCCTTTTTATATAACTTATAATGGGGGACATAAGGGCAGAGTGTCTCTCTCGTGCTATAGCAGCAAGAAGAGAAGAATGGGGGGGCTGCGGGGGACAATTAACGGAGGGATTAAAGTCTTTAATAGTTAGTCGTTGTTGCTTAACATGGTTAAAGACAATAGAGGCATTATTACCTTTATCTTGCTGCAGCAACAGTTGGAGACAGTCCCTTGATGAAGCAATAGCAGCAGGAGATGTACCTGTTGTTATCTCCTTTTCGTGTGTTGCGCTGCTCTCGCGTCAAACGCATGCAGTTCAGGTGTCTCTCCTCTCTCGTCTTGCTCGCTGCTCAACTGTCTCTCTTTTCTTAGACTTCTCCCTCTCTTCAGGGGGTCCCCCCTCCCTCCTTCAAGGGGGCCCCCTCCTTCAGGGGGCCCCCCTCCTTCAAGGGCATGCAGGGCAGCTAGTTAAGTATCTGCTGCAGCAAATGCCATTTGCCATCGAGCTGTCTATTGATCTACAAGCATGGGAGACACCCTCGGGGGCCCTTGCTGCTGAGGTCTTAAGACTTATATGTAGGAGTACCAGTACCCTTACAACCCTCCAGCTAAGGGGAGCCCTACTTCATCAGCGCATGCATGCACTCTTAGCCTCTGGTTGTTCTCTTTACCCTGTCCCTAGAAGGAGACACCTGTCTCCTAGTATAGAGGCACAATGCGGCAGCAGCAAACCACCTAGTAGTACTACTAGCTGCAGCGGAGACAGCAGCAATGTCCCTAGTAGTAATAGTCCCCCTGCCTGTCTCCCTTTATCTATACACACAACCCCACAACTGCATGCTGGACAGGATAATGGAAACGATCCCCCACACGGAGACGATCCCACACCCCCTACACCCCACACACCCAATATAGATATCTCCTCCCCTTCTTCACAACGAACACCCCCTACATCGGATCCTCTCTCTGGCTCTCCAACACCACCCTCCCCACCACCATCAGAAGTATCAGAAACAACAGAAGCAGCAGACTCAACAGAACCAACAACAGCAACAGCAGCAGCAACAGTAGCAGCAACAGCAGCAGCAACAGCAGCAATAGCAGCAGCAGAAGCAACAGCAGCAGCAACAGCGGCCGAAGCAGGTGGTGCGGAGGAGGTGCTGCCGTCTTGCGGCAGTATCTGGGGTAAGGAGGAGATGGAGGATTGGTTGGAATCGTCTCCGGAAGATACACCTCCCCAGGTGTCTCCTCATGAATATATGAGAGAAAGGAGACAGGGATTCTATTTACCTAATCTTATTCGTTTATCTCTTGAGGGTTTACAGCTGCTACAGTACCTAGGGGCCCCCCACCTAGAGGAAACAGCAATAACCCTTACATCGGAGGCCCTATCTCTTGAGTCCCTTACAACCATGTATTATGATCTAGCGTCCCTTCCTCCTTCTTTAAGGGCAGGGCCCCCCCTACAGGTACCCTCTTATAGATTAGGGGGCCCCCCTACCTCCTTTATACACCCCTGTCTCCCCTTAAGGTTCTTAAAGACCTATGGTAAACACCTCCATACCCTTAAGGTAGTGGGCCTCATGGGGCCCCTTGCTAAGAGCGAGCTTGCCCATTGGGCCTCAAGGGCCCTAGAAACCCTTCGCAGACAACAACAGCAGCAGCAGCAGCAAGAGCAGCACCAAGGGCAGGAGCAAGAGCAGGAGCAGCAGCAAGAGCAACAAACGGGCTTGGAGGTGGGCTCAGGCATAAAAGGAGACACTGACGACTCAATGTGCGGGGCGCGTGGAGATAGCAGAGACAAATCTTGCTGCGAGTGCTGCTTGCTGCAGCAGGAGACAGCAGCAAATAAAGGATGGCTGTGCTGCTGCAGCTTAGGGGAGCTACAGGAGCTGCTAGTAGAGGAGACAAGCTTCCTTGTCTTTGTGTCTCCTCCTAAGCTGCTGCAGCTAGAGGTAACAGTTTGCTGCAGCAGCGACTGGATGCTGCTGCTAGAGTTCCTGCGTCTCTATGGGGGGTTGCTGCAGCAGCTAACAGTGTGGGGTGACGAAGTGTGTCCTCCCTCGTTGGGTCCCCTTTCGCCTTCCTTCAGCAGCAGCAGCAACATCAGCAGCAGCTGCATCAGCAGGGTATGGGGGAGATGTCTCAGCAGCATGAGTGTCCCCGAAGAGACGCAGCAATTAATTTCTTTTCTTAAGGCTAAGTCTGCAGCAGAGAGGGGAGGAAACACAGGAAAATGTTTATCCACTGCAGCAGGAGACAGCAGCAAGAGAGTGTCTGCTGTCTCCCCCTCAAGACCTATCCGCCTGCAGGAATTAAAGAGTCTCCAATGCCCCTCCTGTCTCCTTCCTGAGCTTTGCTGCAGCATTGGCACCAGCAGCTGCAACACCAGCATCGATTTCCTGCCGAGTCTCCGTCATCTAGATACCTGGGGAGACGCCCGAAGAATTGTCTCCTTTCTGCAGCCAAAGAGACACTTAGAGACAGTTGTCGTTAGGTCTATCACTAACGCAGCAGAGGCCCTTAAGCAATGCGAAAGGGATATAGTATCCTTAACAGCAAGCAGCGGCAGCAGCAACAGCAGCAGAAGCGGCAGCAGTATCGGCCTCATGAGCAGCAGCAGCAGCGGAGGTAGGATACCTATAAGCAGCAGCAGCAGCAGGCTACCTGTCAGCAGCAGCAGCAGCGGCAAGCTATCTACAAGCAGCAGCAGCAGCAAGCTACCTATCAGCAGCAGCACCTCCTGCCTTAACAGACTGCCGCAACAGCCCTTTTATCCATGCAGCAGCCCCACAGCAGCAGCAGCAGAAAATAATTTGATTTCTTATGAAGGGCCCGGGTCTATACTCAACTCTTGGAGTGTATGTCCTAATCTACGTACTATTGAGGTAGCTACAACTGCTGTCCCTTGTAGGGTCTTCCTTAGTGTCTTCTTTACTGTGTACTCTGCCTCTCTTTCCTTCTGCCCCTCTGGTTTTTTGTCCCCTTTTCTGTATTTAAGTATAAATATATGTCTGTGTCTTGGCATGTCTTTCCCTGTTAATAATCCAAGACACCTGTGTCTTTTCTTCTGGTGTATATGCAGCTAACAGAACAAGCAGAATTAGCGGACCCTTTTCTTTGGTTAGGCCGGGCCCCACACCTAAATTCTTTATTTTATAAAGGTCGTCTTTTTATTCCTTTTAATAAAATAAAAGATGCATCTAAGGGATTAAAACAATTAAAACTTTTGCATGCATTAGCCCTAGATATAACCGATTTTGACGATAATTCCGGTGTACAGATACCTCCAGCAGCAGCAGCAGCAACAGCAGCAGTACCAGTAGCAGCTGCCGTTGCTGCTGCTGGTGCAACGGCAGCAGCACCAGCAGTGGCGGCAACAACACCAGGAGTAGTACCAGCAGAAGCAGCTGCTGTTGTTGCTGCAGCAGCAGCAGCAACAACAGTGTTAAAGGCCTCAACAGATGCCACAGCAGTACCACCTGTCTCGTCTTATACACAGTCTCCTTCGGGGGCAGTGCAGGAACAAAAGAGTCCTAAAGGGGGGCCCCTGCAGGGCATCGAGGACGGCCCCCGTCGGGGGCCCCCAAAGAAATCCTCCACGGGCCCCCTGGGAGGTTCATCTAGGACACCCCCGAGGAGATTTTCTGGGGAGGCCCCGATTGGGTACCCGTTGGAGGGGCCCCAAGGGTCTGAAATCTCTATTGTTGTAGGGCCCCAGGGATCTGGTGACTCTCTTATTGTGGGTCCCCAAGGGTCTAATGACTCACTTCTTGAGGGGCCCCCTCAACCCGAGGGCAGCAGATCTGCTGCTGGTGGCAGTGAGGGTTTAGGAGATGAGCTGGGTCTAGGAGATGAGGAGGGTTCAGGTGATGGTTTTAAGGGTTTAGAGGAGCTGTACGTACACCTAATGACGGCGTCTCCTTCATCCTTACGTTTACTCTTAAGTACTTGTGAGGGTTTGCGTTTTGTAGGGTTTAGGAGATGTGCAGGGATTAGTGTTAGTGCTGCTGTTTATACACTAGAAGAACTAGGGTTTAGAAGACTGCAGCAAGGGGTTTTGCCAAACCCCAAATGCAGATCCTTTGCATGCAAACTTAATAAAGGAAGTCTTTATGAAAGATTTGTCGTCATGAAGAGAGAATTATAGTGAGACAATAGACAGCGGAGACAGCAGACAGGAGGGGGAGGAGACAGCAGACGGGAGACAGGAGAAAGAGGACACAGGCGATAGACGACAGGACACAGGAGACAGGGGAAATGATGGAGGATACAGGAGACAAGAGACAGGGGATAAGAATCGTGAGAGGAAACAGGAGACACGAGGGAGGAAAGACACAAGAAAAGGAAGGAGACAGCGAAGAGGAGAAGGGAGACAGTTGAACTCCTCTCGCTGCTGCTAAATCTGCAGGCACAACGAGGTAGACCGAATGTACCACACATATCGTTGCTGCAGCAGACAGCAGCGTCCGTTGGTGCTGCTGCAGCGGGAGCACAATCCCCGTCTATGCATGCATGCGTTTGCATGCAGCAATATTTGGAGGCAGCAGAAGCAACAATACACCACGTGCATATGCGGGTGCCTCCTCAGCTCTCAGCAGGACGGGTAGAGGTAGGGGGGGCCACCCTGTGCCTTAAGTGCTGCTAGGGTGGGGCCCGTTGTTGCTGCTGCATTTAGGGTCTTGTCTCCTGTTGTGCTGCATTACCTACCTCTATTGCTACAGAGAGTGAAGGGACCTCTGCACCGTCCGGGACAAAGGGAGGCCCCTTTAACTGTTCTGGGCATTGGGCCTTCCTTAGGGGTTTATGGCTGAATAAAAGATCAATGTGCTTGCTAGTAAGGCAAACAAGAGAAGGAAACCCTAAACCCTAAGGGAAAGCAACAATAAATCAATCCCCTTTAGGAACCTTTAAATATAAAAAGATATAAAAAAAAAGCAAACACCTCAAACAACAGCCAAGCCGGGGGGGGACTGCATTTGGCTAGCTAGCTAGCTAGGCAGTTAGCTTGAAAGTTGCCTAGCTGCTAGCTGGCTGGACAGATAGGTCGGCACAATGCTATCTACGTAGCCAGCTAGCCAGCCTAGCAAGTGCTTCCTAGCTAAGAAACATATAGCTAGTAAGCAGCTAGCCATAAAGCAGCTAGCCATAAAGCAGCTAGCTGGGCAGTTAAGGAGACAGCTAGTTGAGCCCGGGAATAAGGCGCTCCTCCGGTGCTATCTCCCAAGGGTCTGGCGGCTCTCTGAGGCGCATACAGGAAGGCAAGCCAAACCCAAAACCCTAAACCCTAAACCCTAGACGTATACACCCAAGATGTGCTGACTATTTCAGTGATGAGAAGGGTGAGTGCCTCGTGGCAACGGGCGCCTCTCGCAACCCTAGGCCCTAAACCCTAAACCCCCAACCCTAAACCGTAAACCCTAATCGTTATTTACGTTTGGGTGCTGAGTATATTTTTCCTTTGTATAACTTCGTCAGGGGAAGGAATATAATCTAAGCAAAGACGACCTAAATATCCATCACGAAAAAGATTTATAAAATATAAAAATCCTCTATTCAGATCTATAGGGGGTAACGTAAACCTCTCCCTACGTCTACCCAGGGTTGTACAGATGTGACGAGATACCTGAAATGATGAATAATATATAGTAAGTAATATATAATAAATAAATATGTTATTAATAGTAGGGAGGCAGCAAGGAGGACGATCTCTAAAAGAAAACAGGCGAGGAAGAAAGCAGCAGACGGCCACCGCGCGCACGGATTAGGGTCTAGAGTTTAGGGTTTAGTAGGATTTAGGGATAGACGCCTAACCTCATATATATCATTAGATGGTTCTTGTAGTCCTAATATCTTAACATAATTAAATATTTTATTTTTATTAAGAAGAAATAAAATATAATCAGCAGCTAATTCTTCTCCTATTAATCTCTCAGGTATAATACCTAAAACACCAAGAATTAAACTACTTTCTTCATCACACTGTCTGTACACCCCACATACGCATGTAAACATACCTCCCTATACACCCCAACACACAGACGCATACAGTATACCTGTATGGGTGACTACATGCAGCGCATGCATAGGCAGAGTACGCGCTATGCATGCAGTGCATATGCTAACGGAACACGGTGTGTATATGCTCACACCCATGCACAGCATGCACACGTTGCATGCATGCGCTGCTTGCATTCACGCACTGCATGCATGCAAGACGTACTTGGGTAGGAGTATACCGGGTGTATCCACACAGAAGATTTTAGGGTTTTGTGTTAATTGAAAGGAAGAAATTTCTTTCGTTAAACCCGGTAAACTTCCTGTCTTTGCCATTGTTTTCTCTGTAAGAAAACAGAGAAACCTAGCTAGTATAAAATAATAAATAAAATAATTAAATAGTATTTATTTATTTTATTTATTATTTTATACTAGCTATTAGTGTGTATAAGGATAGTCTTTATGCAAGCTAAACCCTCTTATTCCCTCTGCAGACCAACGACTACTGACTAAGGAGAGGCACAAGGGTTTAGGGTTTAGGGTTTGACTTACTGACGCCTTCAACAAGTTTATTGCCGGGCTTGCCATGGAAGCTGGCCTGAATGTACAGTGCGCATGCAGCCCCAAAGAAAGAGGTTTAGGGTTTAGGGTTTGACCAGAGGGTTTATGATAAAGGCTGTTGAATAGTGAGTGTTTAGGGTTTACGGCGAAAGCTAGGGCCTTGAGTGCATTAAGAACCTGGGATTTCCCCATATAGAGTGTTTAGGGTTTAGGGTTTAGGGTTTAGGGTTTACGGAGAAAGCTAGGGTTTTGAGTGCATTAATAACAGATGATTTTCCTGTATTAGGTAAACCCGCGAGTAACAACCAACGACCAATAGAATTAAAAGGAGAAGAAGAAAAAGAAGAAGATAAAATAAATTCTGTTATCTTATTCAAGCCCCGTCGTTTAATTGCTGACCCTGCAATACACTGCATGCATGCAGTCAGATGCATGCATGCAGGAAAACACATGCATACGTTCAATACGATAAATGCAACAAAATGCATGCAAACAATAAAATGCATGCATGCATGCATGTATTTTCCTGTGACAGCAGTCCACTGAGTGTAGGAGGGGAAAAGAAAGAAAACAGAAAGAAAACAGGAGAGAAAGGGAAAACCCTTAACCCTAAACCCTAAACCCTAAACCCTAACTGGATGAACCTCTAGGCCAGCAGCTTGAATTAGAGTTTGTGCCCTCTGCAAACAGTAAAGTGACACACATCCACACTACAAACCCTAAACCCTAAACCCTAAATAATTTGTCCCCTACAGCCATGGAACGAAGAGGATGCCTCCCGTCTCAGTCCAAAGCACGCACTGCAACCCCGTAAACCCTAAACCCTAAACCCTACTTTAAGATCGGCAGGTGTGACTAAGTCGCATTTATTAAGAAGGACAAGACGCTGTAAATTAGGAGGAGGTTTTATAGCAGATAAACAACCACGAGATGTTAATGGGGCTCTTGCATCCCGCACCTGTACCAGCAGGAGCAGCAGCAGCAGCAGCAGAAGCAGCAGTACCACCAGCAGAAGCATTAATATTCTCATCAGCAGCACAGGCGACAGCACCATTAATGCCATTAGCAGCACCAGAAGCAGCAGCAGCACCCGTGTCCGCATCAACAGCTGCAGCAGCATCAGCACCACCACCACCATCAGCAGCAGCAACAACAACAGTATAACAAACCTCAACAAGACAATCAACATTCTTTATTGTCTTTTGTAGTTGTACAGCACCTCTAGACATATGGGGAGGGAAGAAGGGGGCCCTGGGGGCCCTCCTTACAAAATGCTGCCGAGCAACAAAATCAGGGTACTCCCAACTCCTACCAATATGGGAGCCCCCATGGGGGCCCCCACCAGAGGAATGGGGGACCCCTTCTAAGGAGGGGCCCTCCGCCTCCCCAAAAGCGCTTGATCGGGGGGCCCCTCTAACGGCTAACAAAAAGTCGCTAGCTAGGGGCCCCCCAGGGGCCCCCAAGCCCCAGGCCTTCTGTGCTGCCTTACCCCGCATGCAGCAGGACTGCAAGGGGGCCCCCAGAAAAATAGGCCCCCCTAAAAGAACCTGCGTGTAGGGGAGGCCCCGGCAGCAGCAGCACAGGTGTGCTGCTGCTGATGCTTCTTCTGATGCACCGTGGTGTGCAGGGGGCCCTTTGTATGTCTTGGGGTATATAAAGAGATTAGTGAGTCCGCTTAAATGTATTAAGCAAACGAAGGAGGAAAAAGGGAGTAAAAGAGGAAAGGACGTGTGTTTGGAAGAGAGAACAGAGGGCCTCTGCTGCTCGACAGTGGGAGGACGGAGGGGGCCCTGTGAGATGGATTATATATGTGGGTCCTAAGCTGCAGCAAACTATTTATTACCAATTATATCATTTATTTTAATAAAAGGACGAATAAAAAGAATAACTATGTAAATGTACTTTTATGGTTACATACAACAAGTGGCCGATGGGGCCCTTAGGGCCCTCGAAGCACTAAGGGGGGGCCCTTGCCCGGTGTTGCCTGTGGGGCCCCGGGGCCCCCGAGGCACTTGTTGGGAAGTTGGTGCCCTATTCCACCGTTTATTACATTATTTTCCCTCTTTTTTTTTCTACCCTACATTAAAGAATAGAAGTAACTCTTTAGGCGGGGGTCTTTGGTACTGACCCCCAAGAGGGGCCCCACACCAGCAAAACGGGCCCTTGGGGGCCCCCGTGGCTGCAGCAGCAGGCTACAGCAGAAGGAGACAGTAGGAGACGGAAGGCGAGAACCGCCGACAGAAAGTGATAGTGCCCCCTAGAGGAGAAGTTAAATGAAGAAGGAAGAAGGATAGAAATAGTGGCACAATAAAAGAAAAGAAGATATATGAAGGCCGGCTCTTCCTCCCCTCGGGGGGCCCCTGCAACAGCAGGGGCCCTACAAAAGTTAATAGAGGCCCTAACAGCATACCTGGCCTATGATATAGATGCTCAAAAGGTACTCAAGTGTATGTACAGCGCAGCACCAGGAAGAAGAGCCTTCCTCCAGCAATCTGCCTCAGCAGATCCTGCTGCAGCAGGAGCAAAAACGCATGCAGAAACAAAGAAGATAACATCTCAGCTTGCTGCTGCTAGCGTTCTGCTTCATAGGGCCTTAGGAGCAGCAAAAGAGGGGGAAGGATCAGGCGAGCCTCAGCAGGGGGCCAGCAAAGAGGAGGGCCCCCCGATGCAGCAGCAAGAAGAAACTATCTATGTTGGCATATGCGGGGTCGAATTTTGGATGCAGCACGTGCAGCAGCTGTTTGCTGCAGATGCAGCAGCAGCAGCAGCAGGAGAAGGAACAGAAGAAGCAGCTAATGATATGACACTTATCTGCAGGGAGATGGAAGGTCTTATCTCTCCTGTTGCTGCTGCAGCAGCAGACTCAAAGGTGCCCTTGCTGCTGTTGTTGCTTTTGCTGCTGTTGTGCATGTATGCATGCTTTGCAGGCATCTTAGTGACCTTATGTATAATGTTTCCCTGTAGTTGCTGCTGCTGTTGCTGCTCCTGTTGCTGGTAGTGTACTGCTAATGCTATGCTGCTGCTGCTGCTGCTTCTGCTGCAGCTTTCCTTACCAACAAGGAAGGCAGCGGTTGAGGTGCTGCTGCTGATGGCCGTCGTCTCCTTGGGAGGCTCCCAAGATCTGTTGCAGGGGGGCCCCCATGAGGGTAGAGGGGGTTCCTCCTCGGGTATAGCAACAAAAAGGAGACAAACAGTAAAACGGATACTGCGTAAAACCCTGCAGGGTATTGTGGGGGCCCCAGGAGAAGCAACAGATGGGGCCTCTATTGCTCTAAGAGTAAGACTGTACCCTCCATTAGGGGTTCTCGTTATGATTATTTATTTATTAGTTATTTACTGTTTATTACTTATTATTTATTATATATTTGATGTATCTACATGCATTGCTCAGTAGGCTGCATGTCTTGCTGGTGGTGCTGCATCTGCTGCTGCTGCTGCTGCTGTGGGTGTGTGTGCAGGAGGCATCTGTGCATGCAGCGCATGTGGTGTTACACTGGAAGGGTTTATCTCGTGGGGCCCTTCGTGTTGCTGTGGGGCCCTTTGCTGCTGCTCTCTTAGATACAGCTCAACGTGGGGCCCTGCTACGTTCTAATTCTGCTGCTGCTGTGAGTTAGACACTTTTATTCCCCTTTTATTCCCTTCTTCTTCCTGCTGCACCAGCTGCAGCAGCAGCGGCATTCCCCTCTCCTTATGTCCCCTTATGTCTCTTTTTATCTCCTTTTATTTGATTTCCCCCTCTCTGTTTGTCTCTGCGTTTGCTGCTGCAGCTTGGCCGTTCTCTCTTATGCCGCTTAACTTGGCTCTTCCGTTGCCCTCCACACCAGGGAGACGCCCCGCAGCAGCAGCAGCAACAGAGGTCCCCCCTTGGTATCCCCTGTCTCTTCTCTGAGCTCCTTAATAGTACACAGCAAAGTGTTAAATCCCTTGTAGAGGCAAACAAAGACAATAAATTGGGGGGGCCCTCAAGGGGCCCCCAACGCTTCCTTTTGCTGCGTTCTCTACAGATCATCCGCGACTTGCTCCTATGGGGTACGCTGCTGCTGTTGCTGCTGCTGTTGCTGTTGTTCCTGTTGCATCCGGTGCCGTTGCTCCTGGTGTTGCTGTTTGCCTTGTTGCTTCTGGAAGTGCAGATTTTGCTGCTGTTGCTGCTGCTTTTGCTGCAGGTTCGGGTCAGGCATTCCCCTCTCAAGGAGCCGTCTCTTCTTCCTTGGTGCAGTGCGAAGGGGAGGGGGGCCGTTTTCTTGTATTGAATGTTCAAAGTCTTGGGGAGACACTTCTTGCTGCTGTTGCTGATTGCGGCGAGGCATTTGCAAGGAGTGCTGCTGCGGCGGCTGCGGCTGCCGTTTCTGCGAATGCACCATCCGCTGCTGCACAGCAGCAGGAGCAAGAACAACAACAAGAACTGCTGCAGAAGCAGCAGGAACTGCAACAGCAACAACTGCAGAACCAGCAACAGAAACAACAGCAGATGCAGCAGCAGATACCAAGGAGAGGAGGCAAGGGAAGCCAGAAGAAGTGGAAAAAACAAATGCAGCAGCTGCAGCAGCAGCAACGGCAACAGCAGCAGCAGCAGCAACATAAGCGTCCGTCGTCTGTAGTAGTTGAGCCAAGCGACAGCTCAGAGGTAGAAAGCGACTCGAGGGAGGAGTGCAGCAGCAGCAACAACAACAGCAGCAGCGACAGCAGCAGCAGCGACAACGACAGCAGCTATGAGAGCTGCAGCAGCACCAGCGACGACTGCCGACGCACAAAGCCGATGAAGCGAAAGCGGAGGCGCTCGGAGGATTCAGCACCAGCAGCAGCAGATCTGGTGTCTGTACAGCTGGATGAGTTACCGGAAGCAGAGTTAACAGCAGCAAATGCAGCAACACTAGAAGCAGCTGTACATGCTGCTGCTGCTGCTGTAGAGGTTGCAGGAGAAGCTGGAATATTACCTTCCTTACCTACATTTATTAAGATATTAAAAGTCCTTTTAACGTTAGTTTGTCTCCTTCGTTGCCTCCCTGTCTCCTTTTTCTTTATCTGTCTCCTTTCTTCTTATCTGTCTTATTTGTGTCTGTGTCTATATGTTTTTTTTTCGTCGGTGTGTCTCCTTTTTCTTTGTCTTTGTGTCTGCTTTTCTCTTTGTCTCTCTAGGCCTCTCCCTGTGTCTTCTTGTCTCTTTGCCTCTCTTTATAATTAAATAATAATAATAATAAATAATAATAATAAATATAACAAATATTTTTTGCATGTCTTGTGTGTGTGTCCTCAGCTATTCTTCTCCTCTATATAATACAATATTTGCTGCTCGTCATGGGGAATGTCTACTTTTATTCGTTAGGTGTCTCCTTCGTTGCTGCAGCGAAGCGTCTCCTTATGTGGTGCGTTTATGCTTGCTGCATGCAACGTCTGTCGCTAAATTCCTTTGCTGCTGCCCACCGCAGCAGCAGCAGCAAGCTGCTGCTGCTGCCCGTATCTGTCTCCTTCTTGAAGACGGCAGCAATCAAGGTGTCTCCTTTTCTAAGAAGGAGACAGTCTCATCTACTCATAAACACAAGAAGAGACACAACAACAGTGAGCAATACACATGTATATTTGTATTACTTTATACACCAATAACAGCATCAGCAGCAGCAACACCACCAAGAACAGGAGTCGCAGCAGCAACAGCAACAGTAACACCAACTTAACACCAACGCCAACAGCAGAAACAGCAACAGCAGCAGCAACAACGGCAGCATGCATGTTGATTTTTCACAATGTGTGTAATTGTGTGTGATTATCCTCAGAGGGAGGATATCCAGATGTTTTAAGTGTTGCTGCTGCTGCAGATACACCTTGGGGTGTACGTACACCTGTAGGGGAAGAAGGTCTTATCTTACAAACGCATGCATGGCGCAGCACATGCGAATTACTTAAAGAATTGCTGCATGCAAAAACGCATGCATTTTTGGGGCTTTCAGGGATACAGATACAGGCCTTTGTCGATGCTCTTGTCTTAGGCGCCATCTCATCGTAAGACTCGGCCTCCTGCTGCTGCTGCTGCTTCTGCTGCTCTTCCTCATGATGTTGCTGCTGTTGCTGCTGAGTATCCTATGGAAGAATCGGGAGGGATAGTCTCTGCTGCTGCTGGGGTGTATTCATTGGGGACTATTGGGTCTTGCATGTGTTTGCTCTGTGGGGCTGCGGGTGTGTACTGTACGTACGCGTACATGCATGCATGTATGCTGCATACACGCACGCATAGCTAGATACAGGTATGCATTTTTGTGCATGCGTTGTGCAGGGGCCTCGCGTGGGGCCCGGGCAGGGGGCCCCCAACCTTTGCATGCGCGGTTACGTCAGATCCCCCTTCTCTTATAGCAGCACTGCAGCTGCTAACTGTCTCCCTCAGTAAGACTGTAAACCCTAATCCCTAGACCCCAGGGTTCTCTAAGCGGTAGTCTTTTGCTTCTAAAGGAGGACCAGGCAAAATAACTTGTGGGGAGAACAAGTTGTATGCAAGGGTTAAGGTGCTTATGGTATAGGGTTTTGCATTTTGTGGCAAATAGTTTAGGGTTGAGGGTTTATGGAGGTTTAGGGTTTGCCGTATGTACAATAGAGTTTGTGTTTGGATGTGCTGCTGCTGCAGATGTCTTTGTCCCTCCACCTGCAACTCTTTGCGCTGCCTCATCCTTGCTGCAGCGCTTGGAGGTTTGCTGCTGCAGCGACAGCAGCACGAACCCATGGGGCCCGCCTGTGCCAGGCATGTGGGGCCTCGAGCTGCTGCAGGAAGACACACCAGGCAGCAGCGGTGGTCCCACAACGTTGCTACTGCAGCAAGCTGCTGCTGTCTCCGGTACTGCAGCACGAGGTGCCATTAAAGCCGCCTTGGGGGACCTCAGCATCGCTATTCGAAATGCCGCATGCAGTACGCCCATCCATGCACTGCAGCAACAGCAGTAACAGCAGCAACACCAACAGCAGGAGCAGCGAGCAGCAGCAACCAGGTGCTGCTGCTGTAGCAGTTGCTGGGTATCTATGTTGTTAAATTGAAAAGACAGTACCCTGCGTTTGTCTCCTTATGCTGTTCTGTTTTTATTGTGTTTGTTTGAATGTTTTATGTTCTTTTCTCTGCAGCAGCAGCAACAGCAGGAGCAGCAGCAGAGGGCGAGACCCCAGTAGAGGGAGGAGAAGGGACAGCAACACGCTTCTTGCTGCGGCCAGAGCAGCTACACATACACCGCGACACCCGTACCGGCAGCAGCAGAGCTGCTGGTGCTGTCTATGCTGCATGCAGCAACAATACTCTAAACCTAACTGCAGCACAGCAGGGCCACAACGGGGGTACCAATGCGGGTCCAAGCGGCAGCCCCAATGGGGGGGGCCTTACTCCCAGCGAAGGAAGGTTCAGGGCCCCCTCTCAACAGCAAACGTCATTCGCTGCTCCTACTCCATCAATAGCTAATCCATACAGACAGCAACAGCTACACGCGGGCAGTGCAAAAGACACGCCTGCTGCATCTGCTGCTCCTCCTCCTTCTCCTGCGCTGCAGCAGGCAGCTCCCCCTGCACCACCACCAGCAGAGCCCCTGCGGGCCCCGGATAGGGACAGCAGAGACAACAGAGACAGCGGAGACAACAGAGAGAGTAGAATCACAAGAGACAGCAGAGACAGCAGAGAGAAGGGCAGGGAGGACAACAGTTGTACCCTTGAGGTGCTGCGGGCGACGCCAAGTCGTGCTGCAGCGCATGCATTTTTGTCTGCTGTTGGGGCAGGCTTCGGGCTTCGTACAGGGCAGCAAGAAGCAAGAAGAAACAGCAATGAACACACAAATACACCAAGACAGCAAGCAGCAGCCTTCAGCCCTCCAGCAACTGCTGTAGATCCTGCAACAGCAACACTAGCACCGGCAGCAACAGCAGCAGGTACAACTGCTGCTGTGCCCGAGGAGAAGGCCGATCGACGGGGCCACGCGAAGGAAAGACGTAGAGAAGCATCCGCAGCAACAGCAGCAGCAGCAGCAAAGGACCAGGATGGAGATGGGAGGTCAGACGATGAGGTAGTTATCCTTGAAGAGGCAGCCACACAACCAGTGTCTCTGCCTAACAATAAGTCTGCAGCAGCAGCTGCGGCAGCCGCTGCAGCAGCAGCTGCGGCTGCCGCTGCTGTCGCTCAGGCAGCTGTAGAGGGGACGGGCTGTGCAGCTGCAGGCACCAGGCTCCCGCTTCAGCCACAACAAACCCACCGTCCGGGGACTCCGTGGGGGCAGCAACAACAGCAGCAGCAGCATTTGGGCAATGACGCTTCTTCAGAGCAACGTGCGAGAGCGCGTATCCACGAATTGCTTCAGTGTAAGTCTGAGCGTCCCCATTCGAGCCCCAGGCATGCACACATTATGCATGCATTGCTACGTGCATGCATACTTACATTCTCTGGCTACCTTATCGGTGTACCTTGTGGTGTCTACTTATTAATGTTAGAGGCATTAATTACTGTTAAGTGTGAGCTTTGTGTCATTAAAAGAAGCGAGTTACGCTGTATGTACATCTCAAGGAAGAAAAGGGTTCTGCTGCTTGCAGCTGTGCCGCTGCGCTGCTGACTTGTGCTGCAGCGGACTCGGAGTTGTCGGAATAGACGTCAAATCTAAACGGACAAGACAGAATATCCAAGCACGTTCAAGACCAGTGCATGCATGCATGCAGCCATGCATGCATGCGGCAGAAACCGTGCTCTCCTGCACGCATGCAGCTTCAGAAGCAGCGCGCGCTGGAAGTGTATATACAACAGGAAGTGTCCTCATTCTAATGCGACTTGTAGCGGGTTTATTGTCTCCATGACTACAGCGCATGCATATGCATTATTATGTGTTTACTTCCTCCTTCCTTTTCCTCTTTTCAGTGTCTCTTTGGTCTCTCCCCTATTCATATTAGGTCCGACGGGCCTCAACATACAACTCAGTCGCGAAGCTGCGTCTGTGCTGTGTTTTCTTCCTGCTGCTACAGCAGGCGCTTGCTGCTGCAGAAGCAGCAGCACTGAACTCTCTGCATGCCTGCATGCAACGGTGTGCCGCTTGCTGCAGAGGACCGAAGCGGGGGAAAGGGGAAAGAATGTAGGGTGGATAAGGGATACACTGTCTGTCCACTGTCTGTATATTCTTGGCTGCCGCCTGCGGCAGCAGCATCTTGCTGCAGCAGCGTCCTGCTGTAGCAGTGTCTTGCTGCAGCACAATTATGCTATGGCAGTGTCCTGCTACAACAGCGTCTTGTTGCAGCGACGTCCTTCGCTGGCAGCGCCCTGCTGTAGTAGCATCCTGTTGCTGCAGCATCCTGCAGCAGCAGGATCTTGCTGCAGCAGGTACCTATAGGCGTTTGGTGCACTTCCGTCAGTTTTATGTTAAGCGCTGTTATTGTATGTCCTTTTTTTCCCTTCCGCATGCATGCATTTGAACGATTTTCCCTTTAAAAATGGCGACACACTTTTTCATGCGAATTGCCATTATGCCAATTGGATTTGAATTGCCCTCACACTGCCCTCACGGATTCATTGCTCGACCTCTGGGAGCTGCGGAAAACAGAAAAGGCAAAGCAAACCAACATTTCAGTATCTTATCCACCACCCCAAACCCTAAACCCTACTGCCTAAACACACATGCATATTGTATATGTGTTAAAGCCTCAGCTATAGGGAATATTGGTTAGATAAGCTGCATCCAACTGGGGTGCACGTCGAGAGCTAGAGGTTATACCATCATATGTCACTGTTATGCTGTTGTTTTTATTTATTTTTTTGCGTGTTTGCAATAGTTTATTCCTACTGCTGTTGGGTTTTGTGGGCTGCTCTTCTACCCACCCAGCTTGGCTCCGCAACACTCTCCCCATGAGAGGCCTCTCTTCGTCGAAGTCGCCAGACCTGAAAAAGCATAAAGAAAGAAAGAAAGAGATGTTGTTTCTTCTTGCATGCATGCATGCATGTGTGTCTAGGGTTTAGTGTTTAGTGTTTAGGATTTAGGGATTTGGTGAGGTCTCACGTAGACATGGAAGAACTCGGCTTTTGTCCGAATTCATTTTGGTGTTCCCTGAAAAAATTAACCGAGAGCACAAATTAAAGAAATTTATTAGGAATACCTCTATATAATTCGATTGTTACTTATTACTCAATATACTACTGCATTACATATATAATTAAATTGTCGTTTTATTATGAGAGAGCCAATATGGCTTCGACTGCTGCTGCAAAGGATGGCATATCGGCTTAAACACAAAGACGCCTGCATACATCTGTGGTGCAGGCATGCACATAGATACGTATATAACATACGTTGCAAGTATACACGCATATATATAGATAAATACTCCTATTCAACAGCACGAATCGCAAATACAGCCCACGCATAACTCCAGATGCTGACCGAGAAAAGCTGCGAGCTCCTTAAAGCATTGGTTTTTTTTGCGTAATTACTTCTACTAGTATCATCTAAAAGCACTGTTTAACTAGAGTTTGCAGAAGAATGAAAATGAATTATGGCACAATTCATGTTGTTGAAGAAAGCTGCATGCATATTGAAGAGTTGACTCACCTCTGTGTCGCACAGGCACCTAAGGCCAACATAAAGATGCCAAATACGACAATTAAAGCTCCACACACACCCAAGACGATCCATAGAATATTTAAATGGCCGATTTGATCAGCGAGGCTCTTTGAGTCCTCTAACATGCCGTCCTATACAGCAACGCATGCACTTTTGCATTCGGAAAAGCTGCAAAAAGGGGACGATTTCGTAGGCAGCATCCAGTTGTTTATAGCAATTAAGCCTCAATGCATCGAGTAAACAGCTTAGAAAACGAAGAAAAATGCATTTAATTTTTCCCCTTATCAGCAACCTGCGTAATAAACACATTCTTCGAATTGTAGGGCTTAAAACTTACATTAGTGGCCACGGAAGACGCAATTGACGGCATTTCGTTGCATCCCAAGACTGCGGTCTAATTAGTAATTGTCTAGTAGGGGAAAACTAAAAGGAAAAGGAGAAAATCAAGAGAGGTGTTTCCTTGGTCTCCACCACCGCCCCGATTGGTTGACAGACTCCTCTAAGGAGACGAGTAAGGCATTATTCCCCTCTTTTTTCACGCTGCTCAGTTTTAACTTGAAATAAAAAGGAAAGGAATGTTTAAAAAGTCAGAAGATAGTGCAAGAAGTATCCTCAAAGCACGGGATCGCCGATGGCCACCGCTGGCACTGGCATTCTCCCGCTGAGGCCATTTGATACTGTAGAGCCTATGCATGCGAATACTTTAACGTAATTTAACTTTGAATACGAACATATAACCCTATTGTTCAATTTTAATGAATAAAACAACAAAATTTGGCGGCAAAGGAGCGAGTCGCACACGCTGGTCACAGCAGCTGCTGATGCGCTCGCGACAGTCTGCAGCATTGGGCACACAGGCGGCCACAACAGGAGGTGTCGATATAATGTAATCGAAGGGAAACAGTCATTTTTCTTAATTAATGTGCACTGTGTGGCCAACAGGGAACTAGTAATACCTGGAAAAGTATAGGAAAGCGGTTGATTCAACCTAATATTGACTACTTACCCACTAAGAGCATGTCGCGATCGAAGGGTGCATACGACGATGATGGGGTGACTGTTGGCGTGTGCTTTGTTTGTATCATAGATTCAATCATTATTTTTGTTCTACTTTCTTAAAAACTCAGCCAAACAGTATAAGAACTTCTGCTTTATACAGTTTCCCATAAAGTTTACCTCCTGTTTTCAAACCAATTGCGAGGCGCAGGAATCCGCGGATAATTCTTTTTAGAGCGTTAGATTAACAAGCAATTAGATAATTATTTTCTTCTTATGTTTGATATTAGGACTTATTTAATGAGGAGAAAATCCTGTTAAACCAAAGATGGTCAATGATTGTTCTTTCATCCCTCCTCAGTCTGCTTCAACAATCGAAACATTCAACACAAGAAAGCAAACCTGGTAGCAAGATGGCAGTAATATTCATAGCATTAATATTCATAACTGTAGTCTCAAACATAAGAATAAATGCTTAGTATATAAATAAGGAAACAGTAATTAGATTATACAGAGAGGGCTGTTTATACGTTTTAAATTAAGCTTTTATAAATTTGCTTTGAAGCAGATAAACAGCCGCCGTCTTTAATGTTTCCTGAAGCATACAGAAAATTAGCAAATAAGGGCAGCAAAGATGTGTCGGCAAACAACAGCGGGAGTATGCCTTCATCCCGGTGGGCCCTGCACAACAAAACTCAATCCCAATAAGCCCTATAGCCTAAACCCTAGACCCTAAAAGCATCTAGTTGCTTAGTTGCAAGGTACTCGTTGCCCCACTAGACTCGCTAATAATATATATTCAGCTAAGATCGGCTTTGATGAGGGCGAAGAAGCCATTTCATACATGTGTTTACAGTTTGTGCTGAATGTTTCTCTCTCCTTTTGTGAATGTATACATACATATATAATAACGTGGCCTTGTTTATCAGCTTCAAATACTATAATAGTCTTTAGTGTGTAGTGTAAACAGCATCGTAGATTCTTTTGATCTCCTTCAGAGAAGGTTCGGGGGTCTTGATTGTGTGCCTGTTATAATCACAAGGTACCTGTCGTGATGCATGTAGTATTATGTGTGATATAATATAGGTGATTAGAAAAAGGTTCGCCGCCCCTCTGTGCAGGTGCGCATACACCCTAAGGGGAAACCGTGCGGAGAAACGTCGTAAATAAAGAATACTGCATGCATGCCCTTGGAGAAAAAGCAGCTTTAGAGAGTTTCCAGATAGCAGACAGAGGACACTACCAGGAAACCCTTGCTCTAAGTATGAGGAGATTTACGATATATTGCAAAGACAATGGTGCATTCCATCAGTGCACTAATTAGTTAAAAATAAATATATTTTTAATTTGTTTTCATATTTTATATTTATTTTATTGCTTGAAGGCCAAACAATGCGGCAATGGCGACGGACGAAGTGCTCGTGTGCCAGTTTGCCGGTTGAGGGTCCAATGGCCCCCCTCCATGAAATCAACCCCCATTGGGGAACTCTTAACTTTAAATACAATAAACTAATATCATTTTTATTTCGATTAATATTAAGTGAATTTTAGCTAGACGGAATGAACAATTTCAGGTGAATATCCAGTAGAAGTTTGCACCCTCATTCGAGTCGCGAGCGGCTTTCCTGGCTCCCTAAATGGGTCGTCTGCCGGCTTCTGCTGCTTGTAATTTTCCGTTTTTATTTGATTTCAAGTTTTAATACGGCTTTAATTGATATTACGTCTGAACCAAGACCACGTTCTTCTTTATTTCGTCAGCAATAGCGCTCCCACCCACCGGCATTGAGGCTGCGATAACCCACCGCAGGAGGCTGCAAATTGGCTCTAATTAACTGCAAAAAGCGCAACTAAAGACACGAAGGCCCCTTTAATTACTCTTATGTACGTTCAATACTTCCCGCAGCCCCTCTTTTCCTCAATCAATCCGTTTACGCGTGTGTCTGAACTGTCATGTCACCATTACGGCGTGTGATGAGCTGCAGCGCTGCGATCCGCAATGAAATGCACCTCCGTCTCAAATCATAAGCCCCGTAAGGGGGCCCCTAGAGAAGCAACTGCAGCACTTCTTCCTCAGCAGGGCCCTGCAGCAACAACCCCCCTCGCTCCTCCAGCTGCATCGGGGCCCCATAATGCTACCCCTCATCCACCCCCAATAACTGCAACAGCCAAACTTCCTCCCTGTGTGAAATGCTCACGAGGTTTTCTCGATATCACTGAGTTGCTGCGGCAAGGCCTCCCAAGTCAGCTTTACTGCAACATACATGGCATCTATAAATATATGAATATATATATGCACAAATATATATATAACTGTATTTCCTAATATTGTAACACGCTAGGTACACAGATTTCTATAGAAGTGGCTGATGTGGGCATCTTTAAGATGCAGCTTAGGAATATTAATGCCTCTAACGTAAGCATCGAGTGTACGTACAGTTCGAAGCCTGTTTGTTGTACATGCAGCATTGCCTCCTAACATCGTTATAGGCGGCAACAGCAGAACATTTGTGGATTATGTACCGGTGAGTCTGTGTGGAAGCAGCAACAGCAGAAGCAGCTGCAACGGCAGCAGCAGCAGCAGCAGCCGACATGTTCGTGCAAAATCGGTGGGGGCATATTATGTGTTGTGTTTGTTTTGTGTCTTTCTTTTTTTGTTGTTAGACCGCTATGTTGCCTTATCCTGTAGAGGAGAATATTTGGCTAGGAGGGCCCCGGCCTGCATGCGTTGCTTCAATACCTGATCATGTAAACACTGCAGCAGCAGCAGCACCACCACCACCACCAGGAGAAGCAGGAGGAGGTGCCGATACACCTGAAAGCCCTGAGAGGGATCTAGCACGACTTCTGCCATATGTCCAGGTTCAAGCAGCAGCAGCAGCAGGCAACATCTCCCCTCGTGACCAAGTTGCTCTGATGCAGCGGTTGCTGCTTCTGCTGCTGCCTTTGCTGCAAGGCCAAGGGCCCTCAGACACCTTCCTTCGCTGCATGTTCTTTAAGCAGCCCCTTCCCCCTATACTGAGTGCCTATAAAGCAGGACACTGGAAATCAGCCTCACCAGCAGCAGCAGCAGCAGCAGCAGCAGCAGCATCAACTGCTTCTGCTGCAGTAGCGACTGCTTCTGCACAGGGGAAAGCAGATAAAGACGCAGCACAAACATCTGGAAGGCCCCGCGGTGCATCTGCAGCAGTAACACAAGGCCGTGTAACAAAATCAACGAGAATAGCAACAGCAGCAACGGCAGCAGGCTCCGTGCCTGTGTTTGCTTGTGCTGATGATGATCCTCCTGCCTTAGCTCTGACGTCTCGCTTAGGTTTGCTGAGGTTGTTTTGTGCTGTATACGCACGTCTCTGTATTCGTTTGCATGCGCTAGGTTGTTTTGGGGCTTTGGAGGGTTTAATGTTTGCTGACGAAGCAGAGATGAGCGCCGTAGACACCGCATGGGACATGTTGGTGCGGCTGGGGCCTAAGCCGCCGCAGCGGAGGCAGCAGCAGGGAGAAAGACTCTCGCAGCAGGAACTCATAGATACAAGAGAAGAAGAATTTGCTGCTTGGGCTACAGACAGCTGGCCGGTAGAAGATACATGTTTTGCCGAGCTACTCCTCTGGAGAGGTTTCAAAACTCCTGTTCCTCCTGCTGCTGCTGCTAAAAAAACGCGCTTTCGCTGTAGACAAGACGGTCTCCTGCAGGCACTCCCTGAGGCAGCGCAGCTTCTGTCTGCTGACGAAGAAGCAGAAGCAGGTGAAGTCTGTATACATGTGCTTCTTCATCTTCCTCTGCTTCTTTCATATGAAACCAGAAACATTTGCATACATGCATGCATGGATGCATATGTAGCTGCTATGTGTGTAGTGTGGTGTGTGGTGTTGCGGCTGTGCGTGTGTGCGCATGCAGCTGCTGCGCTTTGCTGCCGCTTCCTGCAGCTGATGGGTCTGTTTGTTGAGTGTTTGGCTGTAATAGGGGACTTAGAAGCTGCGGGGCTTTCTCCTTATGATCCTCGTCCTTTTATTGCTGATAATGAGGACGAAGTAATAAAACACCTTAAGTGTCAGCAATTTATTAATAAATGTAAATATCTACAAAAATTTGGCTTAACACCTGATGGCCCCTCGCTACACGCTGCACTCAACTCTATAGATGGGATGCTGCACCTCCTGCAACAAAATGTGTGGCTGCATCCACTTCCGTGCAGCAGCCGCAGCGGCAGCAGCAGCACCTTTGATGTAGAGCTCTGTTTCAAGCCCTTTTTTCGTCATTTTCGTGGCCCGGTTTTACTTCCTCCTGCTCCCGTATGCGCAGCCTTATATATACAAACAGCAGGTTATGACTTTCTGCTGTTGCTTGTCCTCTGCTGCTGCTACTGTTTTTACTACTGCTGCTGTTGTAATGTGTACACCGCGGTTGTCTACCTGCGCTGGTATGGCGCTGGAGGCATTTGCCGTTACTGTTGCTGTAGCTGTTGCTGCACCTGCTACTGCTGTTACAGTCTGTGTTGCTGTAGCTACTGTATGCATGCATGTTGTGTATTTTTGCATGCAGGTGCCTAGCGTGAAGGGATTTTGTTGTGCATTATCTCGTATGTTAGGGAAGTTTAATTATATGCTATCTGGTTCATGGGAGACAGACGTTCCTCCTTGTGTACCCTTAAGTTGGGGTTTTCGTTTAACTCCCGTGCTGCTGCTGCCTCGTGTGCTGCTAGAGGATGTATTTACGTCTTTACCTGAGCACGAAGAAAGCCAAATAAGAGGAATTAATTGGATTATTCCTCGTCTTGCTTCTTGTGTTGCTAGACAAGGAACGGATCGTCGTGCAATGCATGCAACATGCCCTGAACACGGCAACGCTGCTGCTGCTGCAGGCGCTGTTGCTGCTGCTGCTGTTGCTGCAGCAGCAGCTGCTGCGAGTGCTAGCGCTGCTGATTTTGTAGCATGTGTGGGATCCGGCCACTCTCCTCCATCTGGCACATCCTCTTCGGCTGCTGCAGCGGTGGCATCTGCAGCAACAGCAGCAGCAGTTGCTGCTGCTGAAGCAGCAGCAACTGCAGGAGACGAGGAAAATATAGAGGAAATTCCTTCTTACATGCTTCGTATATTAAGTTATGCAATGGTAACATCTGATGCAAAAGAGTTCGATGCTTTATGGTCTTTACATAGATTACATTTATATACCCCACAAGAGCAGCAGCAGCAGCAGCAAACTTCTATTATTGATGAACGTTTACTACAAAATTGCTGCTCTCCTATCTTCCTTCCTTCTCAGTTTTGTTCATGCCAAGATTGTAATCTTTGCTCTAGGTGGAGATGGCACTTTAAACAACATGTACTAGATACGTACTCCGTAAGAAATACACACATAAGGCAGCAGCAGCAGCAGCAGTAGCAGCAGCAGAAGTCGACGCATTAGCAGCAGCAGCATTTAGAGCTGCTGCTTGCCACTGCTGCTGGTGCTGCTTGTTCTAACAGCCATTGTAGATTAGCTGCCTGTAAGGTATTGTTGTTTGTTTCTTGGCTTTTGTATGTATGATTAAATCCTTAAGAAAACATATTTGTATTTTCTGTTTCTTTTTTTATATTTGTGTATACAGACACTGCACGAGACGCCGCAGCGGCAACAGCAAACGCTGCAGAAGCGCCAGCAGCAGCCGCAGGAATTTGTAAGATGGACAGTACAAATGAGTGTATCTCCTGCTGCTGCACCTGCTGCTACAAAGGTACCAAAGGCCTCGACGTGCCCTTGGGGCCCCCACGCTCCTCTTATACAGCAGCTTCCTGTTGCAATAGCTTTATCAATAGACGCTTTGCTGCTGCAGCAGCAGCATGTACTCGCCCTCGTCTTGCTGCTGCAGCTTTATCAATACTTAGAGGAAATCACCATCTATTGGAGCTTATTAAATGTTGTGCTGTCTATAGAGGACGTAAGAATATTCCTGCTGCTGCTGCTCCTCCTGCTGCTGCTGCATTTGCTGCTTCTGCCTACATTTGTATCGCCAGGCGCTGCAGCATCTAGCGTGCTGCTGCTGCTTCTGTTGCTGCTGTTGCTACTGCTCCGGTTTCTCCTGCTGCTGTTGCTGTTTGTTCTTTTTGCTCCTGCTTCTGCTACTGCTATTGTTGCTGAATGTGTTTCCTCTTTGCTGCTGCATCTTTTATAGATACGTCAGTGGCATGTTAGGCAAGTGGTAAAGGACGGAGAAGAAAGAAAGAAAAAGGAAACGCCAAGAAGGGCACAAATGCTCCTCTCTTTATTCCTTTGTGGTAGATTTATGTACGTCAGGTGCACGTACACCTGGAGGTTTATTTAATATCTCTTTCTTTCTCTCTTCTTTATTCGATTCATTTTCCTTCCTTTCCTTTTCTTTTCTTCTTTATTTAATTTTTATTCTTCCTTTCTTTTATTGTTTTGTTTTTTTATTAATAGATTGATGATAAACCTCCGTCTACGTCCCCATGATGTACAAAACATGCGCAGCGTTTTTTGGCCTTTTTACAGTGTACGGTGAGTACAGAAGAAATAAAAATATTCTTTTTCTTTACTCTTTTTAATTCCTTTTCCTTTTATTTATTATTATTATTACTGCTGTTATTTCTATTAATAGGGCTATTTATATTATATTTATTTTTATTTCAGGCAAACATTAGTATGGGTATACTCACGTATGCCGTCCTATAAGTACACTTAATAACGTCATTTTTCTTTATTAAATATAATAATACAATATATTTTAACGTTTATAGTAATAGCAATAATAATAAAGCATTAGCAATAATCCCTTGTTATTGTGCTCATGGCTGATTTTCTGTATGAGCTATTCCTTGTTAATCCTGTTCCTGCTGGTGCTGCAGTTGCTCAGCGCTGCATGCATCGCTGCAACCGCTACTGGGGTTGAAGCCTTCAGGGAAGGCGCTACCTGCATGGGGCCTCGAAGCTCCTCGGGTCCAGCGGCCCAAGCGTCCAGCTGCCCGTGCTGCTGCTGCTGCAGCAGCAGCAGCAGCAGACACCGCAGCTGTAGCCCGACTTGCGCACATCCCTACACTCCTTGTGCAGCGCTTCTCCTTTGATTGTCTCTGCAGCGCCATAGAGGCAAACTACCAGGTAACAATTAGTTACTCTTTCGCAGTATTGGATAAGACGTGTAACAACAGGCCTGGTTGCTACTGCTGTTGCTGCTGCTGCAGATCCTGCCCAGCAGCAGCAACAGCAGCAGGAAGGATAGGAGCCGCGCAGAGAAAACATAGATATTGTAGGAAACAAATAAATGCGGTGCTTTTAATGCATTTTACTGCCTTGCACAAACATTCATGCATGCATGCAGGCATGCATGTGTGCATAAATTGTGCACGCATGCATGTATTGTGCAAGCATTCATGGGCTTGCAGGCCTCCACCAAAGGGGCTTCTGACGTAGCAGACGCGCTACAAGGAGGAATGCAGTGGCTATCACGTGCAGGGCAGGAGCAACAGCTGACGTCTGCTGAGAAGGTTAGTTCGTTTGGCTGCTGCTGCTGCTGCCGCCGCAGCCGCTTAGCTGCTTAACTTAAGCATATGCCTGCTGCTGCTATGTGCCAGCAGCTGAGGTGTAAGTACACCTCAGAGGGTACGATGTGTTTGCCGTAGGCAATGATTGAATTGATTCGCATAGATGTAGGAAGGCTTAGGTAGGGAGATGTGGAAAGATTCTTATGTGTGTTGCCAATAAATCATAAAACAAAATAATTAATTAGTCTTATTCATACGTCTTATTTATACGTTTTCCCTTTATTTCTTTAGGGGCATAAGCAGCGGTATCCCTAGCAGTTCGCGCGGTGTCCCTACACCTCATAAAACCTGTCGACGCGTTTCTTTGTTTTTCCTCTTCTTCCTCTTTTTGTGTTTGCATTGATTTGTAATGATTGTTTATCTTTTTGCAGGGATATAAACAGGCATTGAAGGAATAGATGGGTCTTTTAATATTCCTCTCTTCATGCTGCCCATACTCTGGTGTCACCACACTTATATATACGAAGTTTATGTTCAATGCATGCATTATAAAAATATGTGTTGTTATATTTAAATAGAATAGAAACCCAAGAAATTAACTACTTAAATTAAATCGCATGTATAGTGTCTAATTAAACAAATCTATGTATTTGTTTTGTTTTTGTGGCTGTCCTTGCTCTTCTTTTTTTCTTTTGGCAGACTTTCTTGTTTTCGTTAGTTAAGGGGCATATCTGTTAGCTTTTTTCTTTCTTTATTATGCCCTCCCTTCGTTTCCCTTTTGTCCTTTTATCAAACAAAAGCACAACGCTGAACTTTTTATTTGTTCACTGCTTCCTTCTATATGCAAGTAGTTCTTTTTGCGCATTTTCGTGAAGTGTATGTACACCTGAAGAAAATGCTGCTGTTGCTAAAACAAGGTTTTCGTCTACCTAAGGTCTAAAGTCGACTCTTTAGGGTTTGTGGCTTAGGAATTGAGGGTTTAGGGTTTAGGATTTAGGGTTTGGTGTCATCCAGAACCTGGCACCAGGTGCTTCCATTTATTTAATGCACATTTACTGGCTTAAATATATTTATTTTGTTTTCTAATTGTTTTAAAGGCTTACTTTTATTCAAATTGTATATTAGCATCTACAGATGATTGCCTTTCTTTCTCTGCACCATAACATACACCGACGCGATCATAGTATTTGCGCCTTTAATTTTTTGCCTTCTTCCTTCCATTTGTATGCGTATGATTTAATTTTGCTTTCCTTTTTATTATTGACTTTTATTTATGTATTATTTGTTGTTTAATTGTACGTAAGGTGCTGCTGTTTACTGCGGTGTACTGGCCGACGACAAAATATGTTAAGAGGTCACTTCATTGCCTGAAATATCCCACTCGTTGTGCTTTTATTCCCTCAAAAATTCATCTTTTCTCCCTAAATTAAAGCAATACTATTTACATGTATTTTGTATTAAAGACAAGCCTTGAAGATAACGGTGGTGTACACCAAAGCAGTTGATTAGCCAGCAGAACTCCACTACTTTTCTATTTCCTTTAAATTATCCTTTTTAATTTATTTACCTGTAAAAGTATACCTGGGGACTTCTACCTGCATACTTGTCGTGCCTTCTGCTGCTGCAGCAAACTCTTTAGACTTCTACTGTTCTGCATCCGTTCTTCGTCTTATTCCCTATTCGCAATTTCTTTGTCTCCTTTTGTATATCAGTTTGTTCTTGAGGGTTTAAATCAATAATTGTGCTCGATTACACCATACACAGAGCAGTAAAAAGGAGGAGAAAAACAATTAGTATAAAGGCAGAAATACACAAACACGCATGTAGACTGCATATACAACAAAATCATAATATTTACGATGCTTGTATTTTTAGTAAAAGGAGCTGCAGCAGCAGCAGCAGTTGCAGCTGCTGCTGCGGTGGCTGCTGTTCCTGCAGTTTCCGAAGGTACCACTGCTGAAGCACAAATGTTAGGGCAACCTTCTCAGATATTTCGCCCTTATGATTTCTTTGAACCTGCAAGGAATATAGCCGTAGAGGGAGGGGAGCAGCCATCCAAGCGCATCGGTGCTTCTGCTGCTGCTGCTGCTGCAGGGGACCTGTTGGGTGTGCCGCCTAACTTCGTCCCTTCTTCTCGTTCCTCTTTCGCTGCACATGACTTAAACCTAATTCAAGGTACTGACGACGTAAGCACACAAGGAGAACCAAGCGGGGAACTGAAGGCTCCAGAAGCAGCAGCAATAGGACCGGAGAAACGAAGTACCCTACCAGCACCAGCTGCTGCTGCTGCTGCAGCTGAGCAGGCAGCAGCCGCTACTGCTGAGGATGGATCCGCAGATCCCCACCAAACAGAGATTGTCGCATCATTAGCAGCAGAAGCAGCAAAGACGGAAGACGGCTCAGCAGCAGCACTCTCCGTATTATCGGTTATCGCAAATATCCTCGAAGCAGAAGCAGAAGCTGCAGCAGCAGCAGCAGCGGCAGCAGAAGCAGGTGCAGCAGCCGCTCAAGAGTCGCTTGAGCTACTGCTGTTGGAGGCGCTAACTATAACACCACGCAGCGAAGCAGAAACAATTTTTAAAATAGAAGAAAGAATAGACAGACTGCTGCTGCAGGGTTTGCTGCCTGAGGAACAGCAGCTAGCAGCAATAGCGCAGCTGCAAACAGAATTGAAGTCTATTAAAAAAGCATTGGAAGTAGTAAATTATCCAAAGACAGCAAATACTAATAAACCCTTAAGAAAGAGAATTCATAATAGACTTGCTGCTGCTACCACTAAACAAAAACAACTGCGGAATAAGCTAGAAGTAGCACTAGGGAACGTAACTGCCTTGATGGTGTTTTTAAAGGAAAGGCAGGCTGCAAATACACCCCGAAAACAAACAACAAGAAAAACAGAACAAACAGTAAAAAAACTTGACCAAACTATTCATGTCTTGGAGAAAAAAGAAAAGTTTTTATTGGACTGTCTCGATAAACTACGCGTGCAAGAAGATACAATGAATATTTAGATCTTAAAAATTACCTCCACTTTTTCATTCCCCTTCTTTTTGTATTTTATATTTTATATCTAATGCAGTCAACTCACGTGAGACGAAGAACAAATATTGACCAAACGCGTATACTTATTTCTTTTTAAGAAGCTCCTTCATAAAAAGGAACTTTAGGCTTACAACCAATAGCAATAGTAACAATTACTATTACTCTTCACATTATAAGACTTTTTATATATTGTGCAAAACGCTCACAAGCATAGACTACCACAGCAAACGGGTTCTACTTTGCATGCACTAAAATTCACAGCAGGAAGGTGGCTCTGTACTTTCGTTCGTTTCTCTCCTCCTCCTGCTAAATACACTTCACTTTGCTAATTTCGCCTCCTTTGCGTCATAGAAAAAGAAAGATCCCCAATAGAAGAGAGCACATTGTGCAGCCATAATGTGCAGCTTCTGTCATAACACTGCATACGAAATGCCACTTAGTATTATTGTACTGCAGATTACAAGCGGTAGCCATTGCCAGCATATATATGTGGCAGGAGGGAAGCAGATATAACAGAAATATCTTTAACGGAGAAGATACAGACAGGAATTGCAGGGGAATTAAACGGCATCTACCGTCACGTTTTCGTACAAATACCCAGTCAATTTCCCTTTTTTTGCGTCCCTTTCCCTCCAACATAAATAGACATTCTGCTCCTTTCATTGATTCCTCAACGCCAGAGCCAGCATTGAGGGGTCTAAGCTCTGCCCTTTGCAGCTTTCTGTCGTTGTTTATATGGCTTGTTGCTCTTGCTGTTTGTCTCTGTGGGTCTCGTGAAGGCTTGGGCTTAACCCTCTTAGGGCATATATGCGCATCGTTACTTTTTGTCCAAATGAGCAATCGGCAGGCGATGATGGTGATGATGTTGATGATGCGGGTCACAGAAACTTGCGCCGTTCACATACGCATGTGTTTCTATTAAAGCATGCATTTGCTTCTATTAAAATAAATCTGCATGCGCTCTACGTAGCGATGCGCTTTCTTAGTGTTATTTGCTGTTTCTCCGTGTATGTTGGTCGCTTGCTTTGCTCCTTGTTTGCTTTGTTCGCTCGTCCTTTCTCTACTATTAATCCACTAATTAGTATACTATCTAATTTATAGGCCTATTATTATTATTTATTTATTCAGGGTTCCCAGCTTCCACTTGTCTGTTCGTTGGTTTGTTGCGACGGCGGACCCCCGTGAAGTCCCAGACGCCCTCCTCCTTCTTTGCTACCTCAGCGCTGCTCTCTACTGCAGGTGTTGCATGCAGCGGCTCTGCCGTTGCATGCATAGATTCGTCTGCATGCAAAAAGGCCCCATGGGCTTCTCTGTCCCTCCCTTTGGAGGCATCTCCCTTGGGAACCTCCCTTTGCTGATCTGGCATTTTGCTGCCTATGGGCTGTCTGCTGTATCTGCGTCTGAGGATACGTTCGAGTTGCTGTTGCAGCTGCGCTTGCTGATTGGTTGTTGTTGCCCCTGCTGTGGTGTTGTCCCTTGCGGTGCGCTTGGCTGTGTGCCTCCCAGCAGCAGCTCCACTAGGACGCAACGAGGCAGCTGCAGCATCATCTTTTAAGTGCAGCTGCCGCTCATTCGTCTCGCGCAGCAGCATCCGAAGGGTAACGTGGGCTTTTAAGACGGACTGGAGGCCCCCAGGCCGCCAGGGGGCAAAGTAGGTGTCGTGCCACTTGTAGTACAGCCTAAGGAAACAGCGAAACAAGCAAACAGACTTCGACCAATACCTACACCGACATCTAGGAAAAGAAGAAAATATGAAACGAAACACAAAACGAAAGGCCAAAACAAATTAAAAGGAAAAAACGACTAAAAACACTAAAAACACTAAATACCTCCCCTGCTGCAGCGAGTTTGGCGTGATGTTGTGTTATGGTTCTTTTTAGTCATTTTTTAGGGGTTAGGATTTGCTAGCGCTGAGCTCTTCCTTGGGTTGTACAGACGAAACAGTGGGCATGCAAGAGTCAACGGCAAACGAGAAGGACCTTCGCGTCATTCTTCTGAAGAGCGAGCGAGGAACTAAGATCTGTTCAACTGTGTCTGGTTGCAAGTCTTCTATTTTAACGCCAACTTCTTTGAGATACTCTTGGCGTTTAGCACGCAGTCGCCGAGCACAGACAACGCCAGCATACTCCAGTATTTGTTGCTTGCGGGTATCCCATTGCTGCTGCCGCTGCTGCTGCTGCTGTCTGAACTGCACGTACACCTCATCGAGTTCGTCCCACGACGTTCCATACACACCAGAGTACTTCCAGAGCTCTTCAAGACGGAGACGATTCACCCGCAGCTGAAGTTCATTCAAACGCGACGGACCCCCTCCCACAGCAGCAGGTGCAGCAGCAGCAGATTCTGCTGTTCCCTCTGCTGCTGCTCCACCTTTTCCTTCTGCAGGCACAGTGCAGGTGAAGGGCTGGAGGCGGTGGTTATGCAAAAGAGGGTTCGGCCACAGGACATTGGGCTCGGGGTACTGTAGCCACTTTGTCTCTCCCTCCTCATTCAGCGCCATATCCGGCTCAGAACACCAGCGAGAAGGTTCCGAATACACTCCTTCTCTTCCTTCTGCCGTTGGCTTCGCTGGTGTTGCTGCTCCTGTTGGCGTCGCTGCTTCTGATGCTGCTGCTGCTGTTCCTTCTGGTGCTGCGGGTGCTGCTCCTGCTACGGCTGCTGCAGTGCTGCAGTTGCGCATGCTGAGAAGCGTCTTTACAACATCCTTGACTTGCTGGGGCTCTAAGTCTTCAGGGTCGGCTGTGAAAGGAAAGGGATGCGGGTTTGTGAAGACAAACTCCTTAAGAGCGGGAGGACAATCGCTAAGATCTCCAGCGCAGATATCTTCCAATTCGGCATCATCTTCTATGTCTGTTTCTTCTCCTTCTTCGTCTTTGTCCGATGCAACACGGATATCCGATAGCACATTGTCGTCGCCTATACATTTATATGGCTCATCCGTTTCGAGGGGGTGACTCTGATCCCCGCTAGCTGCACAGCTTTCCCTCTGCTGCGAAGAATTCGGCAGTGTTCCCGAAGTAGCGAGCCCCCGCGCTGCGATGAAGTGGAGTGAGGAGCACGTAGGGGGAAACAGCAGGTTGGTAGGCCTAAAGCCAGCCCATTCTGGTGCATTTGATATAGACAAAGGAACCGAAACGTTTATGCAAAGGGGTAAAGGTAATTGAACCCGGAAACGCTCCACATTTAGGCGAATGCTGCGGATTTGTGCCTTCATGGTAGCCAGACAGCTAAGGGCTCGAGATCCTCTACAACAATCCGAACCCCCAAAACATCCTCCGGTATATACACATATACCTCAGAGTCTAAATACAGTTAAAAAAATTAATAAACCATAAACCACCGACACCATGAGTAGTGGATTTCCACTTTGTCCAAGCAACGATAGTCAGACAACGGAAAGAAGGGGATAGGCTCAAGGAATCTTCTGCGCTGCTGAAGTCAATATTGGGTATTTTCACAGGAATATGCTTTAATGAACATTCCAATAACACATTTAATTAACTCTTTGGAGAATTCGGGTAACGGATCGCAAATGGCAACCGCCTTCCTCTCAGCCGCCATGCATGCGCCGTACGATTGTCGGCAGCTGCTCGTCACCGCGCACGGGGAAACAAGCAAATAAAAATACCACTCTTCATAACAAACCGAAATTAGATCAATTGAAATATGTTATTGAATTGCATTAATTAGGGTGCACTTATTATAGTTTATTTTGTCTTTTTCGGCAACTCTCGTCCCAGCACACCTAAACGACCTTAATGCAAATAAAATTACTTCACCGATGAAATTATTCACGGCAAATCAATTTAAATTTAACGTGATGCAGCGTACCACTGTGCTGAGCTTGCATACCTCGCGAAATTCCCTACCGTTTCCGAACTTCCTATTTAAGCGTTACTTGGGGAGCTACACTACTAATGAGTGGTTTACGTAAACACCAGCCTACACCCAAGCCACACGCAATTCAGCTGCACCACTTACTGCAGCCACCAGAACCAATCTGATCTCTCTGCTGGGGGAAATGCATTACGTCGTATCCTGTTCTCTGCACGGGTTTATGTAGGATACGAAATCAGAAAAAGATTTCTGCACGAAAAAACTGGAATTACTCAAGCAGCCTAATGAGGGATACAACGCAAAATATACCGCGTTGTAGAGCAAATTACAACAAAATATGGCACTCTAAGTACAACTGCAATACTAGGAACATTATGCCACGTACAACAACATATTACCCCGCAACAAAAGCATACGAATGTGAGGTATGGAGCAAATTTAAGTCAAATACGTGTTTTTTCCTAGGTTCGCTGGCGCATGGCCCTCGCGATGCTATCCAGCAGCTGCTGTCTCTCCGCCTGCATACGGCGTTGTTCCTGCTGCCTTTGTTGCACATTAACGAATATAGAGAAATGCAAAGGGATATGTGTCGGCTGAAGAAGCAGCAGCAGCCGCTGCAGCTCCTCAGACACGGCTCCCTGCGCGTCTTCTGGCAGGTCGTTCACCAACTGTGATGCATTGCTGCTGTGCGGATCCCATGTCCGATCAAGATCTCGATCTTGATCCCTGCTGTCCTCGTCCCCGCTCTGGTCCTGTTGCCAGACACGCTGCTGCTGTTGCTGATGCGTGTCTTGTATCTCCCTCACGCGCTGCAGCACAGGGACCTCCCAGTGTCTGAGGAGATCGGCGAGGATGACTCCGTTAACAGCAACACCGCACAGCAGGCGCTTCCATTTGCTGCTTCTAAGTCCTTCCAGGACATGATCGGGAAGAAGACTCTGCATAGTCAGCGGCAAGTTAAGCACGGGGCCCCTTGGATATTCTGAATACAGCGGTTCCCACGCATTACGAGTAGGGGCAGCAGCAGCTGCTGCAGTTTGCGCCGCCTGCGACCGCTGCTGCTGCAACAGCAAGTCAGGCCACGCGTGGCGCTGCAACTCCTGTTGCACCGCGTCTTCTTCTGCTACTAATGAATCCTTGCGAAGGAAGCAGTGGAGGTGTCTAGACAGACAGTAGGAGGGTAGCCAAACGGAAGAAATGGGGCATTCTGCTGTCTCCCTCTGTGTGGTCGCCGTACCTACTCCACCAGGTATCTCAGGAGGCACCTGAGGACGCTCCCCCATATGCACCGGAAGCAGGACGTGCTGATCAGCTGTTGTGGAGGAGAAACCCGTTAGAAAAGAATCACCGTCTGCTGCTCTTGCACCCGGTGCAGCAGAATGACAGGCCGAACCCTCCGCCACCCCACCGTTGTTGGTGAAGATGCTGTTGGCCGCGGGATCCCTTTGTGGGAGCAGCAACACCTCATGTGTCAAGAAGAGGGTCTCTGCGAGTTCGTCGACAACTGCCTGGGGAACGAAGACAGCCTCCCTCAGCGCAGTATTTGAACTACCACCGAATAGGCCCTCCCGGACCTTCCTCTTCAGCAGCGCCAGCAGGGACTGCAGGCCGTCTGTGTGCGGGTAGCTGCAGCTTCCGGTGCAATAGCTCCCTCGTGCTGCCTCCGCCTCTCCTTCCTGCCCCCAAAACACGCAGCGGCGCTCTGGAACGCATGCTGCATGCAAGTCACAGTGGTGCTGCAGCAGCACGCGGCAGCAGCAAGGCAACGCAGGCGCGATTGCGGGGTTGAAAACCTTTCTGAAGACGACTTTCTTTGCCTCGTTACCCTTAGGAGGAGCAGTTGCTGGTGCTGGTAATGCAGCAACAGCAGCAGGTGGTGCTGCTGATAATGCTGCTGCTGCGAACGCCTCCTGGGGGGAGCACGGGGACTCGAAGCCAAGAGGCAATGTGGTTCTGCGCATGTCAAGCAGCCCCGGAGAGCAGAGCCTGCTGACAGAGAAAGGGCGCAGGAGCTGCAGAGCCTGCGCTTCAGACAGGCGGCCTTCGCGGAAGAGCTGCACAGCAATGAGGATGTGGTGCAGCAACACGCTGTCTCCTTTCAGGAGCTGCAGCAGACTACCTTCAGCAGAAGCCCCTGTAAGCGCCTCCACCGTCTCTACTGCGTAGCGAAAGATAGAACGGCTGCGCGCGCTGGGGAACGGCAGCCCAGAAGTCTCCGTCGCAGCTGTATAGAGCCCCAAAGCCTCGACATCGAACCTAGCACCACCCTCCAGCAAATTGTTGATTGACGACACACAGGCCGCATGCTCCAGAGCATCCGCGTCTTCCTCCACATGCAACCCCCCCCTGCTACTGCTGCCCCTGCTGCGGTTGGTTTTGTTGTTGGCGTCTGCTTCGATTCCTTCTGCTTCCGTGGGGGAAGTGGGTTTGTTTGCTGGAGAATTTTCTAGGATCTGCGTTGGTGCAGGGTACGCGTCTGTGGGAAGGAGAGACAGGGAGTTGGCTGCGGGCTGTTGCTGCAGCAGCAAGCAGTTGTCGAGTGCTGCATGCGCCAACAGCATTTGCACCAGGGGCTCGGGGTCGTAGGCCTCCGTGTCGAATGCAGGCCGATGCAATCCGAAGGAACCAGAGTCGCTGAAAGCAAAGGAAGCCAGCCCTGTACTCACGCAGTCACCGCGTTGCAGCTGCAGTGGCAGCCGAAGCTGCTGTTGCAGCTGCAGAGCCTCTAAGCCCCCTTTCAACACATGCAGCAACACCTCAGCACCTGGCGTCACAAAAGTCAATGCACGCCGCAGCATCTGCAGCTGCTGGTCCCGCTGTGCCCGCAGAGCTGCCCGAAACAACAGCTCATGCTGCAGAGACTGAAACAGCTGCAGCTGCAGCAGTAAAGCCGGAACCCGCTGAGGCAACACACGGATCTCGTTGTAGCTCCCCTGCAGCTGTTGCAATAGCAGCCAGACACCCCCTGCAGCGGTAGTACCAGGAGTTTGAGGCGCAGAGACACAGGAGACAGCACTAAATGCGGACTCCGGGACATGTGCTGACTGAATGCCTCCTGTAGCAACAAATCTGCGCTGGCTGAGACGAGACGCATGAAAAGAAACGAGTGCAGCAAGAGCAGCAGAAGACGCCACTGCAGCTGCTGCATCTTCTACTGCCTGGGGCTGTGGAAGGGGATCGAGATCAATCCCCGAGGGTTTCTCGCGGCAACGGCGCTGCCTCTGCGCAAGCTGAGCGTACAGCCGAGAGCGCTTCTGCATGCGCAGCTGCAGCACCGGGTCATTGACTGTTAGCGGCCTGCACGTTAGGCGACCGCTCGTGGTAAATGCGCACAGCACAGTAATAGATCCGGGAGACTCGGGAACGCCTCCGAAACCAGCCAGGCTGCTAATGGGGGAGGAGCACTTCCTGCAAAGAGCAACCAAACGCGGGAAACGCCCTTCTTCCTTCTTACTACCTGCCGCTGCAGAAGCAGCATCTGCTGCAGCTGGTGCGGCTGCCGTTGTTTCTTTTGGAATGGAAATGGGGTTTTTCGCCCCGCAGACTTTGCAGCGGAGGCGGCGAGGAGGGACTGGGAGGGTTCTGCTGCTTTCGCCGGTGAGCGCGCTGCGAAGGGAATCCGAGATGGGCAAGGTGAGGAGACAGGCGCCAGCAAAACCATGGAAAGAGGCAGTAGCTGCAACTTCGTCCACTGTCACCTGCAGCGGATGCTTCTGCAACCACGAGGAACCAACGGGAGTCCGTGACGAGATCGGCTGGCATCGATCCCGGTGCTCTGCCCCCCAACTCGTTCGCGGAAACATACAAACCTCAGCCTGCACAGACAAACACCGCCGCTGTTGCTATGGCTGCCGTTGCTGTCCCATTGGTAGTGTCTCCTCCTGCTATTCCTCGTTTGTGCTGCATTGTGACCTGCTCTGTAGCGGTGCAGCGTCGCTGGTACCTGCCAAGATATCTCCACAGTCTCTCTCCTGACGACACGGGGGAGACAGCCGCTGCGGATGACCTCGAGGGGCGAGGGCTCGAAGTGCGGTCTTTGGCTCCGCAGGCGCATGTCTCTGTCCGCGCCTTCGCCTCTGCTGCCACGGGATCGGTTTGAGGGGACAGCAGTTTGCACGGGGTTTGGGGGACAGTACGCCGGGTGTACTCGGAGGGAGCTACATACGACGTCTTCGTTGCGCCACGAGAAAGCCGACAGCAGGTCGTAGGTACCGCTGGCCTGGCCTGATCCTGCTGCAGCGCCAGCCGCAGCAGAAACAGCTGCGCGACGCGCAGCAATACCTGAGACGCTGGATGGATGCATAACCTCCGAAGCAGCCACCGCTCCCGCCTTGTCGGTGCTGCTGTGCCAAAACAAGCTGCGGTACCTACACCCCATCTGCAGCACACAAGCACACGATTTAGCTGCTACCTATCTTCGCCTCCAGGCGCGCACGTATGCACGCATTAGATAATGGATATTGAAAGAGGGAGAAGAACGTGTGTTGGCCATAAATTAGCAATCCAGAAACAGGTGCCAACTGGGTCTCCACGTTTCTCCGTAGAGACAGGCCCATGGTGCCTCCTTGGGCAAACAAAATTGAAAAGAGACAGTTATACCAGGAGTAAAGGTAGCAAACGGGAAAGGGAGAAAAAACACAGTTGACAGGAAACAAACAGCGGAGACCATCAGGCAAACGAGCGAAAGAGAGAGGGAAAACAAACGAACGACAGAGACTACCAAACCAAAGAGAGAAGCGGACAGAGGAGAAAAGCAGACGGACAACCGATATAGGCAAGGACACAGAGAAAGACAGGCAACAGCAAGAATTTTCGAATGTCTGTTTGGCATTACCTTGCGTAGGGAGGGAAGGCCGATGACGGTAAGGGGTTCGTGCATAGCTCTGGCGTCGAAGAGGCAAATGGCTTCTGTTGCATCATGCGCTGCAGCAAGCAGAAAGGGGTGTTGAGGGTGTGGGGCGAGAGCAGTGAAGGCCGTGTGATAGCTTGAATTTGCCGTGCATGGCGCATAGAGAGATTCCGACAAAGTCTGCACGGTGCTACCGTGCGTCGGGGCATGCATAGCGGGGAACAAGCGGGTCATGCTCTTCGCCTGGCAGACAGCAATAACAACAGCAGCAACGATATCAACAGCAACAACAGCCCCAACGATATCAACAGCAACAATAGCCCCAACGACATCAACAACAGCCACAGCGACGGGGGCAGAACCAATAAATCCATTCCGTACTAGTGGACACTGTGCAGCAACAAGGGAGAAGAGACACTGGAGGCTCCTCTTCAAGCAGCAGCAGTAAGAAGTTGATGAACAAGAGAGGAGACAAATACAGAGACAAGAACAGGAGGAACAAACACAGAAACAAGAGGAACGAAAAGAAGAAGAAAGTCAACAAGAAGAAGCAGACGGAGAAAAAGGAGAAGAATGTGAAGCTGAAGATGATGATGAAAGAGAACGTACCCGGAGGTCCAGGGCCCACAAATTGTCGCTGCCTAGAAGGAGGGTTTGTGTTTGGTGAGGTGAATAGCACAGAGTCTGGAAGGACTCGGCGGAAGGATCGGCAAAGGCGGTGCGGTGCCTGTACCGTAGAAAAGGGCGTGAGGCGCGACGAATGCTTCGACTCCCCACAGACAGAGGAATCGCCGGCTCCACCTCCATCTAACCGACAAACGCAACGCATGCGTGCAACAGATATATATACACGCCATAAAGCCCGTTTCGCCTGTATGTACACTTGCGCATATATAACGGACTACCGTAAACGTGTGGAAGAAGCACGCACACCATTATCTTGAGGTTTTTGGAAGCCATGTTTCTACTGTCGCATATGGAATCCGCAGTGAGCGCTCTGGGTCTTACCCTCGCCTCTTCTGCCTTCCAGATGCTGACAACGTTCGAGTTATACAGAAAGGCGGCCTCTCCAACATTTGCGAAGCTGACGGCAATATTGATAACTGCAGTTTGCGGTGGGTTTGGCTTGGGTACGCTAAACACAAGGGACCCTACTTCTTTGCCCTGCTGCTGCGGGGACCCTCCTTCTAGTCGTGGCACGCGCCTTCCATAGGGGGCATCATGGATCACCTGCACAATGAGCTCTCTGCGCACGCCTCCATCTTCAAATCCGCAGCAACTATCTTTGTTCTGCATGGGGGGATCCCCTAGAGGTCCCCTCATGTTGAGGAGGCCTTCGGTTTGGTGTCGCTGCCCTACAGCCTGCAGGGATGCCACTGCTTCTTCTGGGAGCATGTCTTCTTCTTCGTGTTTGAGTTTCGCTACATATAGTCCCCTTGCGTTTCTTGCGAATATAAACTTAAGGAAGGGGTGCTTGTCGTCTGTCTTAACTTCGAGCAGGCGCTCAGAAACAAATGACTCTTTGGGTCTGATGCTCTCTAAAGGGTCGGGAGCATGCCGTGCCTCCCCTCTAGCGTAGACATTTCTCACACTGCCGCTACCATGTACCTCGTCACCCATAGGACACCAGCAGCAGCACGAACAGCAAGTGCTGCCCCTACTGCTGCTGTTGCTGCTGCCGCTGCAGTCACTTTTCTTGGTTTGCTTCGAGCAGACGCGAGGCCCCCTTTCACCGGCTACTCGCCGCCCCTCCCCCCGTGTCCACTGGAAGGTGTTAGGGTGCAGCTCAGCGATACTGACGGCTTCTAAACCCAACGAACAACCTGCTGCATGCACAGAGAAAGCCCCTAAATCGCCAGGCGCTTCGGGACCACAGCCCAAAGTCGGAGTAGCCGACTCCTCCTCGCTGCTGCTACTGCCGCTTCCACTCCTGCTGGTGTCACTGCTACTGCTGTCACTGCTGCTACGCCGCTGCGAACCGGAAAGCCTTTTTCTGTGCCTCCCCCGTTGCTGTCGTTGCTGCTGTTGCACGGATGAGGAGGGACGTGGCAGGCTTCTGGTGTAGACAACATCGTCTAGGTGGTGAGACAGAGCAACCAGCTCCAGCGCGCTGTGTGCCAAACCGCAAGGAAGCACGAGAACAGGAGTGAGTTTTGTTTCCCCTGCTATCTCCTGCAGCGCTTCATAGGGAATATACTCCTCGAGCACCGTCGTCGTGCGAGCGGCTGCTGCTGCTGCTGCTGCCGCTGCCTTTTTCCTCTCCCCCCCCACACCGTACGGATCCGGGTCGGTTGGCAGACGCGCGCTGCAGCAGCAGCAGTGGGGCTGTACGCAGACAGCCTGCGGGTGGTCTGGCAGCAGCTCGTCGAAGTAGCAAACTCCCACAGCATTGACAATCTCCACCTCCAGAGAGGGGTTACTACTCTTCTTAGAAGCCCTCCCTAGAGGCAACGACCGGTCATGCGGTTTAAACCCCCCAAGAAAACAGGTAAGTAACGAACACGGTTCAGGCCCACGCCCTCTATACACTAGGCTGCAGCCGCTGCTGCTGCTGCTGCTCAACCATGCACCTGCACGGTACGAACCCGCCCAAAAGGGAGTGTAGGTACACTCCGAAGGCAAACCATTCGGGGACAAATGAGAACCGTAAGGCAGTCGCCTTCCCCCCCCTAAACCCCCAAACTCCACTGGTTCCAACATTGCGTGGATCTCGGCCTAGCCGTTTGGCGTCTACAGCCAAGGGGGACCCGTCCATTTCTCGCTGGGCAGATGCTTATGATCGGTAGACCTATTACCTAGGGGCTCCCCGTGTCTGCTGACAAGGGGCCCCCTTCTCCCCCTGCTAATACAGCTTAGGGTGGTTTGACTAGCATTCTATTTCTAATGCTCTTTCCGGCAAAGGTGTACTGCTGAAGAATAAAGACGGCGAAAAAAGGAACTAGGAGGGGCCTCCCTCCACACTCGGCAGTGACTTCATAGAAAGACCCATGCACAAGCCCTCTAAGCTGACCTTCTACTTGAATGCAATTTAAATAAACATCAACCAAAACACCAACCACAAAAGCAACAGGGTACAGCGGGGCCTTCGAAATGATGGGCCCCCAAGATAGCCTCGAGAGGGAGGGGCCCCCGCCGGGGCCCCACCAGGTTTTGTTGGTTCGACCCACTGCTCGTTTTCGTCTGTTAAGAATGGTTGAGTGATTTCTCTATCTTATTTCATTTGGAAGACTCGAGTTCTGCTCCTCTCAGCGAGTCCGGTTGCGTATTTTTGTGAGGTGAGGTTTCGTTAATTTGTGGCATTGCAGCGCATACCCAGGAAGGGTATGCGTGCACAGGGTTTTGGGTTTACGTACTATGATTCGCTTCCTGGCTCTTGGCATTCACCTTTTATGATTTGGATCCCAATGACCTAGGCTTCCTAAGGCCCGGGCCTTACACTTGGTTTCTTATCATTTAGGGGTTCCAGTTGACAGCTGCTTCGGAGAGGCCCTCGGCATTTCTCTTTCCTTTCACTCGTTGCTGCATTCTACGAGCACATGAGAAACAAAGAAGAAGATGCAGTCGTTGACACAAGCCCTCAGCACGAGGGACGGAGGCGCCCACGCTACAACGGCGGCGGCAGCAGCAGCAGCAGAGAGGAGCGCGCAACCAGTCCCTCTAGCAACATGTGGATGCCTCATGGACATTCTGAGGGCCCCTCAGGTGTTCACACTAAGCCCAAGAAGAAGCAAAAGGCCTTCGATTGGAGGCGGGCGCAGCGGCAGCGGGTGCTGCTGAAAATTGCGTACAACGGGGAGGCTTACGCAGTGGGTTTATATTACCTTAATGTTTTTGCTTTGTGGGCTCGTCCATGGAGCTGGTCCAGTTTCCAGATGATGGAGAGCAGCAGTACCAACTCTCGGAGCAAAAGCAGACGCAGCACGGGCAACCTAAGGAGCACAGTAGTAGGGGAAGGAGCATCAGCAGGAGCAGGATCAGCAGCAGCAGCGTCACCAGCGGCGACAGAAAAACTGTGTATTGTGTTGTGTTGGGGTATTTCTTTAGGGTCTTGCCGCACAGGCAGAGACGTCCAACATTTTAACAGTTGAAGGCGAGCTGTTTAAAGCTCTAGAAAAAGCATGTCTAATACCCAATAGAGCAGCCTGGTGAGAAAGGCCCCAAATGCTACGGTTTGTGGTTTAGATTGAGTTGGTGTTAGTTTTGGGGTTTAGGGTGTAGTGCTCACAGTCGTAAGTAGCTTTGCACAGAGCTTGTTTGTGGCTTAGTTTCCGTGCGTGCGCGGGCCAAGGGTGTTTATCTTCCTCTTGTACGCTGGGTCTTTGTAGTCTTTGTAGCCACCAGCAGCAGCAACAACCCCAGCACTAGCAGCAGCAGGTCCAGCAGCAGCAGCAGTAGCAACGCCTGGATGGGGTCGTCGTGCGTTCTTGGCATGCACATTTGCTGCAACATCATGTATTTGTGTGGTATTTGTGAGGTGCTGGCCTCTGCTGTGTGTGCTGCTTCTGCCGCCGCTGCAGCAACTTTTCGCGGTGCGGACGTACAGACAAGGGAGTGCATGCGGCAGGGAATTATATCTCTTTAGACCTGCGCATATTGTGAGTCTATGTGCGGCCACCTCAACACCCGTAGCCGAAAGATTCTAGAAGAGCTGCAGCGCATTGATGCTCGTAGTGATGCTCGTAGAGTTTCCGGTATAGGGTTTGGACGGTTGTATCTTAGATACTAGCGTGCATAGTTTATGGTTTGGGGCTGGAACCTCATCTGGCGGACCCTATTTGCCCACAAAGTCCCTTCTGTGGTATGCGTTTGCTGTTTTTAGAAAGTCGAAAACGGAAGAAAAAGAGGGTAGGCCGCTGGCTGCATTCATCTACATGCTGCTGCTGTTGTTGCATACAACCGGCTGCTTCTACTGTGTGCAGCAGCATCTGCTGCTGCATTGGGTACGAGTGAAGGGATCTGTGGCTGCGGTTTATGCAGGATTCACAGGGAGAGCCAGGATGGGGTACAGTCACTTGTATACTCCGTATATCATATTTCTGTGTGAATATTTGGCGTCTGCTTTAAGGGGAGCAGAGCTTCTGTTTAGGGTCTCTGCGCTTGCTTCTTCAGGAGATTGTAGGGTGTATGTGTTACTCATCAATAAGCTTCTGCCCCCAGACATCCGCATCCTTGCCGCCACTCTTGTGCCACCGACGTTCGATGCTCGGTGGGTTCAGCACATAGGGTTTAGAATTTGGGGATTATCACATAGGATGCAAGCTGTCGCTCTAGCGTTAGAAGGGGCTTAGAGATTTAGGCTGTGTCAAAAACAGCGAAATTAAGGAATATGGATGGCACACCGTAGGCCCCCTCATCGTCATGCCGTGAAGCTGCGCCCAACAGCCAATGCAAGGAGAAGGGGAGGGAGGGAGAGAGGAGGCCCAGCGAGACGTCTGTGTGTTATTTGTGCCGTGCAGTCGCTGTACTGGGCACCCTTGAACTCCATATACTTAAACATGTACTCTTAATATATATGCGTACACATTTTGTATATATTATATACATGATAATATGCATATAGATATATACACCTTATATATGTATAATGTATGTACCTCCATTTATATATGAACGCATATGCAAGATGTTTCTGCACACAAATCTACATACGTCAAAATGTACAATATGCAGCTCCATGCGTCTGTGTTTACATGGATGTTGGTGTTTTGGTTTGTTTATGTGGGTTTAGGTTTGACTGTTTGTATCGGGTGTACAAATACTTTTTCAGCTTAACGGGGCTGGACCTGCAAAAGATGCAGAAGGCGGCCAGTAGATTCGTAGGCCAACAGATCAAAGCCGTAGCAACCTCTAAGTTTAAACTGTCCCCTCAACATTTCTTAAGTCAACACTAAATAGACAAAACCTAAGAAAGCAAAACCACGGGCAGGCAGTTCGTCTCTTTGGTTGCCTGTACCAGTGACCTAGATCTCGTTTTCTCCATTTCTCTAAAATATCCATTAAGACGGCGTGAAATCTGCAACCACAACCACCACACTCGTCCCTGACCCAACAGCCATGCCATTTTGCCTTCCCATAATGAGACACCTCATATGCTGCCTACAGTGTATCGACTTTATCTTTGATATGCATGGTACTCATGATATGCATCTCTGAGGTAAATAATATGCAGGACAGAATGGCGTGTCTATAATATGCATATGTGCGGTTTTACTTCCTTATTGTAAGCCTCCTAATGACTTAACCATTTTCCCCTTTCCTGCGTCCTTTCGCTCACAGATGTCTTCAGGCGAACCCAGTTTGTTCCTGTTTGCGTTTGCAGCTCGGACTGCACAACTTTCTTCGGTTTTGTAAGGTGGATAGGAAGCAGGAGAGAAGTCTTTGGTTGGTTTTTGTGTGTTTATCGCTTTCTAAGACATCTGCACGCGAATCTCTCTGTATTCTATACCATGTTATGCATGTTTGTGTCGGCCGTTGCGTATTTGCCCTCTTTTGGTTCTTGCTCAGATCCCGTGTATTTGCATGGTGCATTTAAGTGGCGGTGGGGGAGGGTTGACGAAATGCGTGCTTACTGCTGCTGTTGCAGCAGCTACACCGGGACAGCTTTCCCCGCCCCCCCCCTCCCGTTGCAGCAGGACATCCTGTCTTTCAGCTTGTT